TTGTATGACTTAAGCCTGCAGAATTTTTTTGGCCACGTAAGCTTTCAAAACTTATTACTCTTCTTATTTTTAATATAAGACCTAATTTATTAATTTGAGAAAGTTAAGTATATTTACTAAATTAGTTAACGTAATATATTTTTTTCTTAAAATATTCCAATCATCTTTCCTTGGTTTCCTTCCTTTCTCCTCCTACTTGATTGTTGTTGAAAGAATATTAATCTGATTAATTTAGTAAAAAATTATAATAATGTGAAATAAGTCTTACATATAGAAAAAATATTAACTCTCAAAATTAGGTTATATATTAAAGAATAGATGAGTAATAAAAATCACAATTTTTAAAAATTATCCTTGATAAAAATCAGTAAATGGTGTGTCGTGCTTTATTTTTCTTCTGCGCACAAAATCAAAATTCTAGCTCCCAGTAAGGGGTATATTAAACTGGAAAAATTCATAATTTTTACCTCATGCATGTGATACAATGGATTATATTGTGTATAATAAGAAGTCATATAAAAAAGTCTTTCGAATTATTATTTGGATTAGAGGAAATATTGTCCGGATCTAACACTTATGAGATATGGATCAATAAATTCACGCAACTTACAAGATCAGCTAATATTTAATCTTCATTGGCATTTCATCTTTCATCACGTGTATTTTAATTAAATCGCATGTCGGTCAAGTGAATTCACTCATTAATTTAATTCATTGCTGAGAATTAATATATAATTTTGTAATAATCTGTAAGATTAAACTAGCCCTATCTTTGGATGGGAAGAAAATTAGGGAGAAAAGAATATTAAGAGAGAGAACTATTTAAAGTACTACCTCCTATCCCTAATTTGAAACCTAGTTAACTAATTTGAGTAGATTAAGAAAATTTGTTAAGTTAGTTATTTGTAATAAATAAGTATTGTCTTTCCTAAAATATCCCTGCTAATTATGTATATTAGCTAGAGTTACTATTTGATAAAACTTTTAATCTCTGAAACTACTGCAAGAATTACCTTAAAAAAAACAAATAGATACAAGAGACAAAGTGAATTATGGTCTTATATTTAATATCAAATTAAATATCAAACTGGTTTTTATATTAAAGACATGAGGTAGTAATTGTTTTACTAGTTTTAAAAGTTTTTCCTTCTAATGTTATTTCTTCTTTTTTAAATCTCCCGCAGCAATCCAAAGCTTACATATTTAGAGGGTAAACTCTGTTATAAAAAGCATGGCTTGCCGCCTCGCTGTTAAATTTCCTTCCTGTGCCCAAGTAATTCATTGTCAATTAAAACAGGAAGAATGACAGAAAAAGAAATTAAAAATTACAAATATCAAATCAGGTTTGATAACATAATTTTATTTGGTATCAATAAGTTTAAATTTGTAAATAACGACAAATTTTTATTGATATTTCTTATCTATCGTTTAAAAAATTTCAGTATCTTTTTTTGTTATTGTCCCATTAAAGTATTGCACCCCTCTCCCAGCAAAAAAAAAAAAAACCACAATCAATCTTAATATAAACTACTCTTCGGGTCTTAAAGATAAGACTCACCTTAGTTTAAATTATGGGTCTTACGTTTGAGATGGAAGGAGTATAAAAAACAAAAAAGGTTCTGTTCTTGATGTTGACTTTGAACAGCGCGTGACTCTGCTCCCCTTATAAATAAATGTATAAGGTGGTTGACTCTAGTTAAAAAATAACTAATTTCAATCAATGATGAAAGTATTGGTGATGACAGCAGAACACTATCTCATATCTTAATTATAAGACCTCTAATTCTAATTATAAGATCTTATTTATAGATTATAAACGAGATTTTATAATTAACACTGGACATAGCATAACAATAATAGAACAAGAAGACGTGAATAATTAAATTCCTTGCATGAAGATATACTTCTACACGTGCGGGTAAAGGATATAGCGTTTAACATTGATATCAAAATTATCTTTAATTTTAAACATGGTAACAATTTGCTGGTAAAAAAATAGAGCATCCATTTTAAATCAGGATCATTTTGTTTTGAAATAATGAAGTTTAACTTGTAAATGCAACTGAGAAAATAATTTTAATCTACTTATGTCGAATCTAAATACTACTATAATTCTCCCTTCATAATTTAATTTTCATTCTTAAAATTTTTTTAATTGTGTTAAGTTTTATTAATGTAACAACAAATAACGACACGCGCACACACATCATCTTAACATTGTTAAATATCTGGCAAAAAATTATAAATATGTATGACTTATCGTCATAAAAGTAATATAAAGGCATAGATAATGAAGTAAAATTAACTCATATACATGTGATGAAATATCTATACAGTACTACTAAAATTTAATGACTGACTTAATAAACACCATGTAAATTCAAACTAAAAGGTTAAAATTAGAAATTGAATGAGGTAATATATAGGGATCAGAATATTTCCCTGAAGAACTTGTCAATAGGATATTGTTCCCTAATTTTTTCCCTTTTCCTAATTCATTTGTTCTATTTTATTTTATTTTGTTTTTCATAAGGAAAAGCTCAGAGCGAGTTTTGAAAGTATAAAATAACAAGAACGGATAGTTTAATACCAGAAGTTAAATAGAGTGGGCCAATAAACATACATTGGCAAACAAAATTATCGAAAACTATAAACCTTTAGTGCATTTATTTATATTCATTAAATCAAATTCTTCAATCAAACCTTGTTATATGTGATTTTTATTACTAATGATGGTTTGGCAGAATTTTGAAATTTTAACAATGTGAATTTTTATTATTAAACAAAATTTACATGGCAGGATTTGATTAAATTATTAAATTTAATAAATATAAGCAAAAGGTTCTAAAGTTTTTTACTTATCAAAATTTTTTTGGTCAAATAGTTATCATAATATGATCCAATCATTCAATTTTATATCGCTGCTCCGCATTCCCATGCATAGTATATAGAAAATAATTTGCCTTTTCTTTTTGCGGGCTAAAAAGGAAAAAAATTACGCAAAGACAATGGTGATATGCAGTTTGGTGTGGAGAATAAGTTAAATAAAAGATAATAAGATGATAAAGAGAACAAGTATTATAAGTTTCATTTTGAGGACTGAATTCATCAAAGCAATAATTGACCAAATTAAAATTGAGGTTGTGGGTAGTTATTTAAGACTTAAAAGATTGTTTAATTAGACGAAGAATACCAAAAACAAAAAATACTTAAAAAATTAATGCTATAGACAAGTTAAATATATTATACCATGAATCGTGAGAAGGTATAGTTTACAATTTATCTAAAAAATGCATAATTGCAACAAGTGTTTTTATTGCTGATTTGTTTATTGCAAGAGGCAATATTTAAACAACTTGATCTTATACATAATCAAATGTTTTTTTTTTTTGCCGCGCCCTAACCAAATGCTTCAATCGAAGATGTTTTTAATAACATAGATTTTTAATAACTGAATAATGGATACAGCTATAAGAGTTGTGATCTGAGCAAAAGTTGAAAAAGAAAGAGAATTATGATCTAAGCAAGTACAAAGCTCACATACACACAACAATAACAGAGTGCCTAGTATTTTATATATTAGATATTAATTGCCTAATTAAGTTTCAGTTCAATTAGCTATAATTGGCACAACAAATTGCAATCATGTATTCTAACTCAAAGGGATGACATTTTTTATAGTTTGACTTCAATTGCCAATCAAACTTCAAAACGTGGTAGTTGGTCCCCCTAACGTGGTGTGGTAGTATTTAATTTTTTTTTAACCAACAGTAGTATTTAATATTGGTACTATACACATTTTATAATTAATAATAATCCATTGGATAAATTATAATAATACTTATAATTAATGTATATCACCCATAAAAGTTGATAAAAACAGAAATTTCAACCATTGCTTTCTGGATAGAATTTCATATTAATCCTATAGGGCACCACTAACAATTATTTATCTGACTAATTACATATGCTGCATATATAACAATATAAATCCTGATTCAGATTCTTTTTCTATTGTATAATTATAATTAAAAATAATTAAAATATGAAATTAAATTTCAAAAATAAGTAAATCCCTTTTATTTTATTCATAATACCCAGCGAAAACTGCTTAGTTTTATATAAACAAGCGGAAATCAATCAACCAAGACCAGCAGAGTCATCATGAGGCCCAAGGTTAACACTAACAGGAATAAGTGAAAACGGATAGAGAACTTAAGGGGCACAAGCTAGAGAGCTTGCTTAGCCAGAAAATCTGCAGCTTCTTGACATCTCGAGAGATATTCTAAAACTACTGATTTAATTTTTAGTATATTTGAGAATTCTAAAAGTAAAATTAAGTAGATTATTATCCCAATAATAATCAGCTAAGCTAATAATATTTAGTTTGCAATGAAACTATCTCTATTGAGTAGTCATGTTCTCAAGCAAATATAGCTGTTTTGATCATTTATCAGTGTTTGTTTTAAATTTTAAATAATAATAAAACAAAATAAGAACTTATTATAATTTTAATTTATTATTTCGCAATAAAAATTTCAAGAGGTTGCTATCATTGTCAACCTGATTAGATTTATGTGCAACTTTTATATTTTTGTTATCAATCTTCTCAATTAAAAATATTATTTTTACTAACAAGGTTAAAACTAATTATGTAATTTGCTCAGTATACAACATGGCTTAATCAGATAATTACATAGTTACCTACAAAAAAATTTACCTATTGGATAACGTTAATTTTATATTATTATTTTATGTTGATGATGATGATTAAGGAGGATATATAATATAACTAAGATCATGGGCGGTTGCACAGTGAGGAAAAAGCAAGGGGGGCAGGGGCATAGTTGGAATTTGGCTACATGAGGTCTCTATAAATGCCGCTTTAATCCCACTCTAATGACCGTCCCGCTCTTCCATGCTCTTCTTGGGTCACTGAGATTTCATTCTTTAACCCCAAACAGGTATCCCAATTCTTTCTTTTATTTTAATCCTCTCTGCCTTTAGTTTATTTGCTGCCAAAGAGAATTGCAGCGTTTTGTCTTCTGCTTTAATGATTTCAGTCCCCCGGAAATTGTATTACCGCGGCCAGTTTTGGGAAGATCAGTGTTACACTGTTACTAATCCCAAACCACGTTTCACGTTAACGCCAAACACAAAGCAGTTGCTTCTACGTTTCATGTTTGAAAATATGATTTTCGGTTGGCTAAGGGTGTGTTCGTGTAACTCAAAAATTTTTGAAAATCGAGACAAAATTTTCTATATATTTACTTATCATAAAAAGTTTTATTTATATTCAAACACCCTCTAAATACAATGATAACGCCATTATTATTATCCCAAATGCACATTTTAATTGGCAACATATCATCTTTATCCGCTTTCGAGAGCCATATCGCGGCATTCCGATGATTCCGGAGGAGGCCATAAAGCCAGAAGCGACGATCCAGTGGGGATCTCAATGCCACGTAATTGCAGAGGCTATATATATATTTTTTGGTTATATTATTTTGACCACTTCACAATAATTCAGCTGCATGTCGGTTATGATGGTGGACTTATTCAATTCGTTATATATATATATATATATATATATATATTTATTTATTTATGTATATTCGTTGCTTACGATTGTAATTGACGTTTAAAGTATATCCTAGTGGTTTCATTTTTTGTGGCCAAAATATCCTGGCGGTTTCGTGTAAAGTGTATGAATTTTGATGAAATAATTTTATAAATAGAACGACTTAATTAATACATTTATTATATATATTTGTAATGTAATTAAATTTACATCCAATGTTTGCAAAAATAACTAAATAAGGAGTACTCGGAATCTTTGTGAAATATACAATAAAAGAGTATTTCGATGAAAACTAAATCTTAATTTTAAAAGTAATTTTACAAAATATAAAATAAATATGTAAGAGGAGTTTTATCTTGATTTGTATAAAAAACTATTTAAAAATACTTTTTTTTTGGTCATCCTAAAGATGAATAAAGTAAGAATAAAAAGGAATCAGCAAACAAGCTAAGTTTCAAACAGTAGATGTCAGCGAAAAGGAAAATTCATGATAATTATTGAGCTTCCTACGTAAGTTTGGGTCTTCTCTCCAATCCCCCTGGGAAAACTTGATGCAACTAGTTAACAAAATAAAGTAACCAACCTGCAACCATACTATTCAACGCATGTGAATGGATTGCAATTCACGCTTTGGTATTCAAATCTTTGCTATAAATATGTATTTTGGGCTTGCTAAGATTAATATGATTTTGTGACTTTAATCAGGAAACCAACTAGGAATTGAGCAGAAGCTGAGCCGTTAGGAAGCAGAATGGCTAACGCAGGTAATTGTTCGTCGTCGTCCATGAAAGCGACGTCGAATGGAGTGTTCCAAGGAGATAATCCACTTGATTATGCTCTGCCTCTTGCCATCTTACAAATCTGCCTTGTGGTGATTGTCACGCGTGTTCTTGCTTTTCTTATCAAACCCTTGAGGCAGCCTCGTGTCATTGCCGAGATTGTTGTAAGTTCCCTCCTCTTGCTCTGTTCTACTTATTGTCATACTTTTGTCTGTTTCATCAGGACACTCCTTTTGTTTAGGATTTTATATGTATGTTCATTTTTTTTTCCCTTGACTGTTATTTTAATAACGCCAGCTGCTAGAATCTTAAATACAAGAAGAAAGAAAGAATTTTATGTTTTTTTCACTTCCTCCAACCTCTGGGTTAGGGGCCGGGCTACCCAGAAGGAAGCAGGTTGAGAAGAGTACATCTGTACTTTAGAGAGCTAATGACTTTGGACGGAGGTTTTGTTATTTGTTTGATCCTTATTTGAAGGATCTCATAATTTTTTTACAAAAATATAACTACGTTTGAAAAAGATCTATATTTGGTCAATTATTTCTCAAACAACTCTAGAATAAAGAAAAGGAAAAAACTGGTCTTTAGTCCAACCAATTCCTCGTTTTTTTGTCATGACAATCAGTATATCGAACAATAGCATTGTTTGCATCTAGTCAGTATTTAGAGATTGAGAATCACGTCGTACTACAATATCATGTATTGCTAAGATCCATCATCCGCTGCAAGCTGTGAAAAGGTCATTCTTAATAGGTTGCAACATTGTTTCTAAACTTTTCTTCCATGAATTCATCAAATGTGTAAATATTAAGTTTGATGTGATGTTTGAATTCACTTTTTGATTAGTGTTTGCGTATTCCATATGAGAAGTAAAAGTACTGTTCTTGCGGCAGGGTGGAATACTGCTAGGTCCATCGGTGCTGGGGCGCAACAAAACCTACCTGAATAAAATATTCCCTGCCAGAAGTCACACAGTGTTGGACACTTTGGCCAATCTTGGTCTCCTTTTCTTTTTGTTCCTTGTGGGCCTTGAGCTGGACCCGAGGTCCCTTCGCCGGACCGGAAAGAAAGCTCTTCTCATCGCCCTTGCCGGAATCAGTCTCCCTTTCGTAATAGGAATCGGAACATCCTTTGTGCTACGTGCAACTATTTCAGAAGGTGTCAGCAAAGCTCCTTTCCTCGTATTCATGGGAGTGGCTCTTTCCATCACTGCATTTCCGGTGTTGGCTCGTATTTTGGCTGAGCTCAAGCTCTTAACCACCGATCTCGGTCGGATGGCCATGTCGGCAGCCGCTGTTAATGATGTCGCCGCGTGGATTCTTCTCGCTCTCGCAGTCGCTCTTTCTGGTTCTGGACAGTCTCCTCTGGTTACACTCTGGGTTTTATTGTGTGGTTGTGGTTTTATCTTAGGTTGCATACTTATTCTTCCGCGAATATTTGGTTGGATGGCTCGGCGTTGTCCTGAAGGTGAACCGGTCGGCGAATTGTACATCTGTGCGACATTAGTTGTAGTACTGGCGGCTGGTTTTATTACTGATCTTATTGGAATCCACGCCCTATTTGGTGCATTTGTGGTTGGAGTTCTTGTGCCAAAAGAAGGACCCTTTTCTTCAGCTCTTGTTGAGAAAGTGGAGGATCTAGTATCTGGTCTCTTACTTCCATTGTACTTTGTTTCCAGTGGACTAAAGACAAATGTGGCTACTATTGAAGGCGCTCAGTCATGGGGTCTTCTGGTTTTAGTCGTATTTACGGCTTGTTTTGGAAAGATGGTTGGCACCATACTTGTCTCCCTCCTCTGTAAGGTACCTGTACGGGAGGCTGTCGCTCTTGGATTCCTCATGAATACCAAGGGATTGGTGGAGCTCATTGTCCTTAATATTGGTAGAGACAGACAGGTATATATAACTCTACCGAATTACTTCTATGTAACTTGCGTGTTCAGTGAAGTCTAATCAATTTTCACCTGTACGTAGGTGTTGAATGACCAAACATTTGCTATCATGGTGCTGATGGCTGTCATCACAACGTTCATCACAACGCCTGCTGTTATGTCAGTGTATAACCCGGCCAAAAGAAGGGTGAAAACTGACTATAAATATAGAACTGTTGCGAGGGAAGAGCCGAGCACTGAGCTTCGGCTTTTGATATGTTTCCACAGTGGAAGGAACATCCCATCAATGCTGAATCTGGTTGAAGCTTCCCGAGGCACTGGAAAGAGAGAAGGGCTTTGCTTGTATGCATTGCACCTCATGGAATTGACGGAGAGGCCATCAGCTATCCTAATGGTTCACAAGGCCAGAAAGAATGGGCTTCCTTTTTGGAACAAAGCTCGACGTTCTGAAACCAACCAAATCGTAGTTGCTTTTGAGGCTTTCGAGCAGCTAAGCCGAGTATCTGTTCGTCCCATGACGGCTATCTCTGCCATGTCAACCATTCATGAGGACATATGCGAATCTGCAGAGAGTAAAAGAGCAGCAATGATAATCATCCCATTTCATAAGCACCAAAGGATAGATGGAACCTTGGAAACCACTCGATCAGAATTTAGAGCAGTGAATCGGAGGGTTCTGGCACACGCACCATGCTCAGTAGGGATCTTGGTAGACCGTGGACTTGGTGGAAACACTCATGTACCAGCAAGTAATGTTTCTTCTGCAATGACTGTTCTATTCTTCGGGGGTCCTGATGATGAAGAAGCCTTAGCTTATGGTCTGCGAATGGCGGAACATCCTGGTATTAGTTTAACCGTTGTCTGTTTCCTAGCGGGAAGCTCAGAACATGTAGCGGCAGGAGGAGAGATTGTGAGTGTAGATATGAACGAGGAGACATCATCAACTAAGAAAGAAGGATTAGGAGACGAGAAATTCCTCACGAAAGTGAAACAAAATGTGTCAGATAACAATTCAGTGAAGTTTGAAGAGAGGATGGTGAAAACTTGTGAAGAAGTTGTGGAGGTGGCTAGAGAGTATAGCAAATGCAATTTGGTTTTAGTAGGGAGGAAGCCAGAAGGTGAAGTGGCCATAGCTTTGAAGAATAACAATGGAAGAGGCGAGTGCCCAGAACTGGGGCCAATATGTAATTTACTTACCTCTTCAGAGTTCTCAACCACAGCATCAGTATTGGTAGTTCAACAGTACCAAGGCCAGAAAGCTGTGAATCGTGCACACTCCTCGTTTGCCTCGAGTAGAGTTGCAGCTATATTTGCGAATGAAGATGAGGACAAGAATTCTAAGTAATGTCTTTTCTCTGACTCAAGTTCGATCTCAAGTTCCTACGTACGTGTATGTTCTGTTCGTTGGCCTGCATTTGGAATAATTCAGCAGGAGAAATGGGTTTTGAGATCCAACCTGTTCCACTTCGTGTGATGTAAATATAAAACTGCAACTGCAGGTCAACGATGGGGTTAAGCCTTATCTTTCTAAAGATCACAATCCTTGTAAATTTGTAATTTTTATGCTGTTTTTATATGCAACTTTTCATATTTTTCCATGTGACTCATTAATGGGTAACATATGCGCCTTGCTCATTTTATCAAACGGTTTGATTAATTATTCACTTTTATTTTTAAGGCATATTGTTGTAAATTTTTTTTAAAAATAATTTAATAAACCAACTTATAATTGAAGTTTTCTTTTTTAAAAAGAAGGACAAAAATAAATAAACCTAGTCATTATCTGCTTCGTCTAACTTCCATCAGACAACTTCAAGCAATTAAGTATAGGGAGGGGGCCATACTTTTCTTGGGCTGCAAGGTTTAGAACAGAGTAGTACTAAAGCTATGAAACGAATAAATTGGGTGTGTTGAATGTTAGCCTATTATGGCTCAGATTCCAAGCCTGTCGTTTCTGATAAAAGAAGGATCACGAACAAATGATTCCGTCAAATAATCCAAAAAGCCGTAAGCATTGTTGGGAACTCCACCGTATTATCTAATTTTTCTGTCCGATCAAGAGAATATAAGCTCCACAGAACCCAGGGAAGTGATCGATCAAGAGCAAAGAACAGAGCAAACAAGCATGAAGAAGATGATGGTGAGGAAGGAAACGGTGAAAATATACTGGTGCCTCCTCCTTTTCTTTCTACCATCAATATTCCACTCTGCTACTTGTCACAGAAAATCATTCATAGCAGAGAAACCATGCAAGCGATTCGTCTTGTTTTACCACGACAAACTCTACATGGGAAAAAACTCAGACGCATCCAATGCAACATCGGTGGCCGCTGCAAATCAGACATATCTCGGGAATTCCCAGATGGGAATGTTGGTTATATTCGAGGACCCAGTAACTTACGACAGAAACTTTCATTCTCCTCCTGTGGCTAAAGCTTCAGGGTTCTATTTCTATGACACTAAGGATGCTTATAATGCTTGGTTTGCCTATACACTCATCTTTAACTCCAGCGACTACAAAGGAACTATTAATATAATGGGAGCTGATTTAATGGGAGAGAAGACCAGAGATCTTTCTGTGGTTGGTGGCACGGGGGACTTCTTCATGACCAGAGGAATTGCGACTTTTGAAACTGATGCGGCCGAGGGTCTGGATTACTTTCGTCTCAAGATGGACATTAAGTTGTATGAATGTTACTAGCTTTGCTTCTTAACTTGACCCTTTGATTTGTCCAATAACTCTCTATTTGCATGCCTGTTGCTTCCCTCCATTTGGGGAGCTATAATGCGAATTATTACTTGTTACGCTTTTCTTGCATCTTGCACACTTGTTTCTCTGTTTCGACGAGTCTGTAGCTTGAACACTTCACTTAACAGGATTCATAAAAATAAAAAACAAGGGCTTCTTTTTGCCTCCTTCCTCCTTTTTATTACCGGAAGTTGGGCTTACAAAATAGACAAAACGGTCCGAATCACGTGTATGTATATTTCTTGGGCCTCAGTTTCTTCGTTTGTTGCGAGACCAATATACTTTAGGGAAAATTTTCATAAAAAGAATCCTAAACTTATCATTTCCCAATTTAAGTATCTAAGAACTTAAAATGTAGAGAAAGAAGTTGTACCTGATATGATATTTTGTAAACATAGTTAAATGACTAAAATAGTTTTATATCATATTTTTTAAAAAAATTATCAAATTTGTCATTGTTAGTACATTTTTTGTCATTCGTTATTCATTATTTGTCATTACCAATTCACAAATTGTTAACAAATCACTTGTAATTATCAATACATTTCTTATCATTTACTATTCAACACTTGTGGTTACTAGTTCAGAATTTATCAACAAACTTTTTAATATAGGATATTTTAATCATTTAACTATATTTGTAAAATATCATATCAAACACTACTTCCTCCTTTGTCATTTTTAATTGTTAGGTGCATGATTTGAAAAATCATATTTTGGAACTTTTTTATTTGTCATTTTTCCCATACATAAAAGACTGTAATTGTCACTCTAGCAGGCCGAGAAGCAAAACTGAAGAAGTTTGTGGCTGCTGCTAACACTTTCATTCTTTGGCTCTTTCTCCCCCCCCCCCTAAATGAACAGAGTCAGGTGAGTTAGATCTTCAAAACTCGCTAATGCATGTTTAGTTTTACCTTAGAAGCGTAATGGCTTCTAACCTAATACCAACCACAGTCTAAAATCAAAGTCAAAATAGATTATATATAGTTTAAAGGATGCCGATAAAGATATTTTATGTACCTTATTACACATATAGATGAGAGCAATCAAATCCATCTTTAACCCAGAAGAATTTAGTTTTTGCCAAGCATCCTTAACTTGTTTTTAAATCAAATGTTTTATCAAAGTTTTAATAAATTAATCCTATATAACAAAAATTAATGCTCATGCTTACCTTCAGAGTTGTTGATCAATAAGTTAATGATCCTGACCCACTTATATGAACAGATCTGGTCAATAATGGCTGCCTCCCTCTTTATAGCTCAAGATTCAATGGTAGTTATAAAACAGTCATCTGATAAACGTTCACATGTTTCTATTATCGAATTTTCAACGGATATATATATCTTTATATAATAAGTAAAATTTGATTATATGATGCTTAATCTTAAAAATTAGATATACCAAAATTAAAGTTGTGAGCTTGCTGCTCCTAGTTGGGCAATATTATTAAACAGACGTACAACGAGAGTGACGTGTAATTAATTATAATCTATATGAGAACCACGCCAAGGTCTATGGTCGTCATTTGTCTTTATAATTGGGCTTTACGAAAACACTTATAATTTGCTATAAGTTTATACTGGTTGTTGCTTTTTCCCCTAATATACATATTTGTCTTTGGTGAAAGCTTGAAGTTAGACAAACGCTCACTTTACAAATGCTAATTATTATAAGTTAGAAAAACCAAAAGGAATTAAAGAAAGATGATACCATGAACTTCGAAGTTAAAGTAAGGTCAAAAAACTCAAAAGCTTGACGACGAGAGGGTGGTGGTGGGGAAAGAAAATGAAACTGAAATGCCAAAACAAACTCTTAGAAATTAAAATAACGGTACGTCCTTTTCCAAGTTTAAGTGTTAGATTAAGACGCTTGCTCATATGCTCACAAGTCACACTCACATGGGAACTTTTTTCCACAAGTATTAATTGATAGTGGCCAAGCTAGTTAGTTAATTAAAGGGAGGGGGTGGGTCACATAATTTGGTGAGGATAGACCTAACTCCAAAAGGTGATGGTCATGGAGAGGAATCATTTTCAGTATTGCCGTCCAAGCTAGATTCACGAAGGAACTAGTAATGGAGCCATAAATTCCACGAACGTACGTATCCAAATTCCAATTTCCACGAACGTTCTTTTTTTGTGGAATATGCAGTTGGTGCCGAAGAAGGTTGTTTGTGACGTTGGTCTGGACAAATTAATAAGACGTTTCAATCCATACCAAGAGCAAATAGCCAGGGCAAAAAAAATCTAGACTTGATTCTGGCTATTTGAATACTCATCTCTTGCCTGTCTGTTTCCACTTGTAAAATGATATTCATATGGAATTGGGGAGAATCGCCAGCACAACTCATGGAAATCAAGACACGTTCAAACGGCCACTGTATAAAATATTGGCAGACATTCCCCCAAGAACCATGTAAAAGTGTTATTGTCATGGCATGGCACATGCTATGACCTATTTAATCATGATTCAGATATATATAATAGTTCAATTATAATGAATAACTGGAAATCATCAGTTCTCAACTAATCAAGGGATCAGTCTGATTTTCCCAAAGAAATTGCACTAAAATTAGTGTTTTAATTGATGCGCGACCTTCCCTAGTAACAGGAGGCAATATGAAGCACATATATCCCAAACAGGAAGCTGCTGGTGTTATACATTCATGACAAGACTTAAATGGAAAGCAAATACTGGTATCATCGAGAATTTGGATGACCCCATCAGGCCCGACTTAATTATAATAACCTTTGCACTATATTAAACACTACAAAAGGCTTTTAAAATTATTATTTGCGATACCAAGAATACTAACACTGCTCCATCGGGTTGGATTTACGTTTGTGGGTGAATAGCACAATCAACTTCTCTGGGAGCCGACCCCATATATATCATGCAGAAAAATTAATACTCCACAGAGAAAACTGATTGTTCTGCAGATTTCTTCATCGCCACTAATTTAATGCTTTTTTAGATGCCCCAAAGTTTCTGATTAGACAAAAGGATGCGTTGAGTTCTATATGTACACATGTAAACGTCAAGCGTTGTGCCTGGATTTAATTAGGTTTGCCTCCAGAAATTCAGGGGAAACACCTATAACCACCCAAATTTGATTTGTGATGTGTCTGGATTTAATGAGGCTTGCCTCCAGAAAGTCAAAACAGACAAGTATAATTCAATTAAAATGTTCCCCAAGTTAGACTAAATCCAGTACTCTGTAAGAAAAATGAGTACTAATCATGTGGTGTACTATATATTGTCCATAACTACTTTTTAATGGTCCTAGCAGGTTAATCAAGGTAGGGCCATGATTTGGTGAGTGTCAGACCTAAATCCAGAAAGTGTCGAGGGAGGCATCATGTTACGTAGTGCTGCCTTAGATTCGTTAATTGGAGAGATCAATATATATAATATATTTTGCAATATAAATTATATTACAAATTTAAAATAGAAGATCAGTACGACAAAACATTAATAAAGAAACAGTTAAGTAGAAAAAGCACTACCGCATTACATTAACTTGGGTTGGCGGCTTGGCGCTGTTGTGGAATGTTTGGATATTAAACTCACCTTTGGTCCCAAAAAAAAAAAAAAGAATATTAAACTCACCGACCCTTAAATTGACTTCTCATGTGGTCCCTTCCACCACTGTAAATCAAATTACACCAAACTCTCACCAACCCTCTTTTCTGATTCATTCGTACTTGCAATTAATCACCACAGAAAAAATAAATAAACAAATTAGGAAAAATTACAAATAAAGACCTTTGAATATGTAAAATTATAATTTTGAATCATGAATTTGAAAAATAGCAAATAAGGACCCGATCCTACTTTTGCAAATATGAAATGTTAGTGAAATGTCTGAAATGCTTCTCAGTTAAATGACAAGTTGACTATGAGAAATAACAAGTTCATTTTAGTGAATGACAACTTCAGTAGACTAAATTACAACTTGGTTAAGAGTATGCCAAATGACAAGTTGACTATGAGAAATAACAAGTTCACTTTAGCGAATGACAATTTCAGTAGACCAAATCACAATTTGGCTAAGGGGTATTTCAGACATTTCACTCACATTTCATATTTACAAAAGTAGAACCGGGTCCTTATTTGCTATTTTTCAAATTCAGGATCCCAAATCACAATTTTACATATTTAGGAGTCTTTATTTGCAATTTCTCTAATAAATTAATGTTATTCATGTCCAAATTCCTGAAATTACTCATAATCTTGTCCATAAAGTATTTCTAATATGTTTATATGCTGTAAATTTTGTTTACTATATTTTAAAATTTAACTACTATTATGTAACTATATCCTTATTTAATATTACCTACAGTCATAAATATAAAAACTAATTTGTAATACAATTTATACTAAAAATTAAATCTTATATTTAGGTTTGGAGGTACTATGTGAATATATTTCTTAAGAAAATTATAGAAAAAATTGTACACTGTTGTAATAAATAAAATTATCGACGTAACTTTTAGTGAGTGGAAAAACTCCTTTTTGCTCCATAAATAGAACTAAGGGAATGGCCTATGACCAATATCAATCTTAGGAAAATGATACAAGTATTCCAACGCCCCACCACCACTTGTTCTTTAGTCAATGTAAATTAATCATCGGTCCTAGTCGCCCCTCCACTACTAGGAACGATAGTGTACAAGTCGTTTTGTTCTTCTTCTTTTTCAATATCTTTATCAAGAGTTGTGGAAAGTTTTATGAGAATACCATAAAGAATACAAATCCAAAAATAAGGTCAATTAATAAGAGCTTCAAATCTAAAATGTATCTACAACGTAGAGGAGGGTCACACATTCTTTCACCTTAATTAACTATGAACGTTGACTTGTTTTTCATATTACACCGTAACATTAATGTATTCTCTTCTTTTTTTTGAGCCCAAGGTACGTGTATTTATTTTCGGTAGCAATAATTAATTCTCTTGCATCGTATTCCTTTCAAAACGGCTTCCATGTTGACCACGAAACCCTCTCCATAAGGATTGAATTTCTGACTAGATGCTTAAAGCATCATTTTTGAATGCTGTTTACAGTTCATATAATAATAATAATGATAATGATAATAATTGGCAGCACCACCCTATATATCTCCCCATGCAGTTGCCTCTGGAATTTTAATATCAATCAACATTGACAATATAAACCTGCGGTAATCTCAACTCTCTTAACTTCTTGATTTTATACAAACAAAAACTTTGCTAACGGCAGATAGAACAGTGACATGAAAATCCTTTATTTTTAAAGATATGGTCGTAGATTTAAGAATGGACGAAAAAGAACTTGTAATTAATAATTTTTTCCTCGTGCCGTGCAATCTGAATGGGAGTTGCGAAAAATTGAGAGAATATGTTTATCTTTTTTTCCCCTCAGTTTTTACAATATATATTCAGTGTTATATTGCCATTACTACTAAATTAACTGTTAATTATATTTAATTCAGCTACTAATCAAAATAAACAAAACTAAAATGAATCAATTGAGATGGCAACATATAAATTACTATACGTACCTCTATATTATTTACTACGTCCACGGGAAGTTAAAAAGAAAAACCCAAAACAGTTGGCCGAAAGAAAAAAAGAAAAAGAGAAACCGAAAAAAGTGATTCAAAGGAGATTGTAATTAAAAAAGTTGATGCAATGCTGACTTTTCCCCCCTAATCATAGTTATCTTTTTATTAGATGTAGTTTTATTCGAAACATTATCAGATACTAAATATAAATATTTTTTTAATAAAAATTTAAATCTTGATTTATCAATTGAATGTACAGGTAGGTTGTTGAGGATTTTTCTTGTTTGATTCAGATTTTCCGTTCCCTCCAAACAAACTGTAGGTCTATCTCAAAAGCGACAACCAACAACGACAAAAAGTCTAAATTCAAAGGCATAATAATTAGGCAGAAGATGCCACGGTGAATAAAGAAAGATCAATGCAGGCTTTTTAATTTTAATTTTTAAATTTTGTTTTTCAGTTTCTAAAAAATTATTCTAGAGTTATTTTCGTTTTCTTTTTATTTTTAAAGCACAATACATTTAGTCATTATAAGCTACTCTATGACTAGACGCCGGCCACTACCACCTACCGTCGGTCTTGGCCGGCAACGACTAACATTGGCCTTTTTTTTTTTTTTTTTAATAACTTCAAAACTGTTTTCAAATTAATATAACTAAAAAGACTTTTCAAAAAAAAAATTGAAAAGTAGTTTCCAAATAGTTTTCGAAAATGAAAACCAAATCAAACAACACCGCAAATTTTTTCCTATTTTGTTTTTCTTTGCTCGCATGCTTTTCCCTCTCTTTTCCACAGAACAACGACCTTTTTCGGCCCTTATAACAGGACACACACTGAACTGAAGTAAGCCAAGTCACCTCGGCTTAGTCATTCCTTCTTCTAGTTTCCAAATCTTGAAGCTCCTTCTTTGTTTCTCCTTCATTAAACTATTTCTTTCTCTCAAGAAACTCGTAGTTCTCCAATAATGGCTGCCATAACTTGCTCTGTTATCATCTTTCTTATGTTTCTTTCTCTGTGTTCGGCTTTCCCTAGTAACAGGAGGCAGGATAAGCCATGCAAAAACCTCATATTATACTTTCACGACATTATTTACAACGGAGAGAATGCTGGTAATGCTACTTCTGCCATTGTTGCAGCTCCAGAAGGTGCTAACTTAACCAAATTGGCCGGTCAATTTCACTTTGGCAATATTGCAGTTTTCGATGACCCCATCACGCTGGATAATAACCTTCACTCCAAACCAGTTGGGAGGGCTCAGGGCTTTTATATTTACGATACCAAAAATACTTACACTTCTTGGCTCGGATTCACATTTGTTCTTAACAGTACAGATCACCAAGGCACAATCAACTTCGCCGGAGCCGACCCCCTTATGCAGAAATCCAGAGATATCTCTGTCATTGGTGGCACTGGAGATTTCTTCATGCACCGAGGCGTCGCCACCATCGTCACCGATGCTTTTGAAGGCGAAGTCTATTTCAGGCTTCGTGTGGACATTAAGTTCTATGAGTGTTGGTGATGTGCTAAAATGCGTCGAGTAATTAATTAGCATATAACATATAATATATATATTTATATATAGTCGAGCAGTGTTGTGTCAACTCATTGAGTATGGTCTCTATACATTGGCGAGAGGAACAGATTATTAACATGAAAGTGCGATAGAGGTTAATTCAGAAGTTTTATCTCACGCATGGCTCATGTTTTTCAAAAGCAAGTTTCTTGTGCGTCTTTAATATCACCCACACACACACCCACACACCCCCCCACACACATACACATATATTGTATGCCTTGAGCCACGTCTTGATCAATAAAACTCATTTTCTACTTCAAAGCTGTGCTATTTAACGTACTTCAGTTGGAGAAACGGGAATTATGGGGAGCTAATTACTGTACCGTAACGAATGTTGTCCTCGTACTAGCTATTGGTTATCATCAGTCTTATATTGGATTGGATGAGTTTTCTTAAAAGGGAAACTTATAAGGCCTTGCCTTCCTCAATTCCAATAGCTTGGTTTTAGGGTGTGGTTTTCTCGAAGACTTGTTACACTATTGTTTATTATCAATGGTATTTCTTGGCCAACCTCACGATTCGCCATTATTTGTATATATACGTAGATGTCCATTTTCAGAGATTCATCATATAGACACCTAAGCACCGGCCACATCTGATTTTTGTGATGCGTGCGGATTACTATGGTTTTAGCCCCGATAAGTAAGAAGATGATACAGGCAAAACCTCTTCGCGGAAAACAGCTACAATGTTGATGAATTAATATTATTGTTCATTGAATTGAGTCTTGTGTCATGATGGAAGTGAATTCCTACCATGGAAATTTTCCCTTCAAATTGTCATTAATTAACAATGAAAAGTGTTAAGTTTAAATACGTATGTTTATTGTGGAAAGTAGTGTAGAATATTTGAACCGTACCAGCTATGTTATAAATATCCCATTCCTCTTCAAAATCTTCTTCCTTTGGCTTTAGGTAGGCTTGGAATAACGTGCGTACAGATATATATTGACCATCAAAGAGCTCGTTCATTTGCATGCTGACCATATATATGTATAGTTCCGCTCCGCGTGCATCATGAAACTTGGGTTTACGGCGTGCAAGGCTTCAGAATCACTCACTACTCATGAAAGTTGGCTGGAAATTGGCGAATGAAGTGCAAGAATGACCTGTGGGTCCATTCTTCAGATACTCAAAGTCCCGTTAGTAATGGCCGCCAAGACTTCATCTTTCTCATGTTATAACATGAGGCAACATAAGCCATGCAAAAACCTCATGTAATATGATACTTTGTCAACATTATATCTATAAAACGGAGATATTGCGTATAAATTAACCAAATTGGCAGATCAATTCCACTCTGGGAACATTATGGTTTTCCATGACCCCATCACGCTCAATAATCACATTCACACTAAACCCGTTGGGATATCAAAAATACTTTAAGCTGGTTTGGCTTGGATTCACGTTTGTGCTCAACAATAAAGATCACCAAGGCACAATCACCTTCGCTGGAGCCAACCCCACTACTTTGCAGAAATGCAGAAATGTCTCTCTAATCCGTGGCACTGGAGATTTCTTCGTGTAGACGTCAAGTTCTTTGAGTGTTAGTGGGTAGATATGTTATATATATGACGTCTCTTCTGCTGAAAATTTTCAGCCACAACTGCTATGATAACGAATTTTCGATGTCACTACTGAAAACAAGAGGTAATTTTTTTTTATTTTCAGCAGCAATAAAAGATCGCTATTCAAAGTTAAATTTTTTGTGGTGTCTATTAACTTAATTATTGTGTATTTTTTGATGAGCAGAGAAAAATATTATTAACATGAAAGTGCTGTTATAGAGGTTAAATTCAAAAGTTTTTCTCCACATACATGACTAATAAAATATAATTACTAAAAAATCTCAATGATAATGGAGTAGTTTGTACTAAAAAGTTTTATAATAGCAAATGACAACTACTCACTTATCATTAGAATTTACTGACAATTATTTTTTCTAGCCTCGTTGTAATTCTTTAATTACCTATGTCACAAATGCGTGAGTACTATTCTTTGTCGTTAGATGGAATAATCATAATAATGTTAAGAGAACTTGCTGTTATATTAAAGTAATTGAGGTCGTTTCCGTCTTGTTCAACCACTTGTACTTGTCCTTTCGTCACACACATAAATAGCAACTGTTGAACACACCAAGGTCAAGAATCAATGATAAAATATTGGCCAAATCGAACACCAAGTTCAGTTTAGTTTTTATCAGTCTCTCTTTTTCTGCGTAAGTTATACGCGAGGTAATTATAGGTCCAGTGTTTACCAGAAATCCTAGGTAAATTTTTTTAATTTTTCATACTTTTTGCCAACGTTTTAATTTTTTATATTATATTATATATGTTACTGTATTTATACCTATATGTACGTTATCCGAGGTTATACTTCAATTCTTCTGGTTTTTTTTTTTCATTTTTTTGAGCAGAACAATTCTTCTGGTTATGGCTAGCACATTTCTCATCATCATCCCATGTGCCAGCTGCCTTTAAAACTTGACAACGAAGATGATGATTAAATGATTTAATATAACAAAAAATGTGACTTAATTTTCCTAAAATACTCTTATATTAACATGAGATTATATATTATTTTACAAATTAAGTAAATAAGTTTAAAAAATAATAATACAAGAAAAAAAATGAATTGAGAACCAAATCCAATCTACCAACTTGTGTATTGGTAACTATTTATTAATTATTAATATTTTATTTAGCCACCGATAGATGATTCAGTAGTAGCAAAAATCTAATATGCTTGGGACATGCATGGAATCCTTGTAAATCTATGTATAACTGATAGATGTCCCTGTTCAAATAAGTTTCATATTGGAGGCTTTTTATTAACTGGGGAATAGTAGAGTATTTTTTTGGTCCAATTGAATACAAATGTGGAGAGGCGTGTGGCGTATTTAACCATTAATAGTGTTTGTCGGCAAAAAAAAAAGGGTGGGGAGATGTCTGGTTAAAATTTAAATATTGACGATGAGCATTTTTGGGTAAAATTATTATTTTTGTAATGTTGTAATGAAGGTTTGACCAAAAAAACAAAGTTGTAATGAAGGTTACCGACCTTCTTGGTTTGCGTGATTTAATTAATTCTTTAAAACCTTGACCTATTTAACATTTATTTTTTTTTCTCAATATTCTTGTTTCTTTTTTGCCAACTTTTCCGATACTCTTGTTGAATATTTGACTTATAAGTGCTGCATAAAATGATGCTAAATTGATTATGCCAATTTGATGAGTAAAAATAAATTTAATAATAAAATTTTAATAAAGGGTTAAAGTGCATTCAGTATTCTGAAACATTTTCTCATACACATCCAACACTCCAAAGTATTTTGTGATGCATCTAGCATTCTGAAACATTTTTTTAGGTGTATCCAGCACCTTAAAGTATTTTTTTTCTTACTTTAGGTACTGGACGCACATAAAAAAATACTTTAAGGTGTTGGATACACAAAAAAATATTTTAGGGTGCTAGAAACACTTAAAAAAAATATTTCAAGATGCTAAATACATTATAAAATATTTTAAGATGCTAGATAAACCCAAAAAAATATTTCAGGATGTCACCTTAATCCTTTAATAAACACAATAGACAATCTGTAGTTATTTTTCCTATATATAAACTGAAAAAATATTCTCATTTTTTATAAAGAAATAAGAGGAAGTATTTATTTTTCTCATATTTTACGTGAGGAGGTAATCCGCACATGTATTGTCTTTTCCTGCTTGACAAAGGAGACCCATGGCCATGTGGCTTTTCTTTAGTTTATTTTGACTTTTGAGTTATGTTAGCCGTTTTTCTTTTTTAAAAAAACTTATAGGGAATGCTTTCTATAAAGCCTGAGATGTATCACAAACTCATGATAAAAATAATATATTTTTATAGAATCTTGAATAATATATATATAAATATGTCAATCTAATGGATAATAAATATATATGATTATTTAAATCATATAAAGAAAGGGCTACATCTAGTTTAAATATAAAACCTAATTTTTATATTTCAAATTAAATCTTATATTTAAAAAAGAATGTAATATTTTATTTGAGCATTAGGCACCAATAGAAAAAGCAAAATTTGCTTCAAATGGCTCAGTGAAGTGGTTGAACCTTCACAAGTCATAAATGTGGGGCTAATGGCATCAGTTAGAGTTTGGGTTAAGTTGGGGTTCATCCTGCAGTCTTGGGAAAAATGTAGTGGGTTGTTAGGCCTCCTTTGCTCTGGAAATGAAATTTTTTTTAATATTGAATATCTTATCACTTCACATGTGCATATTAAAAATCAAAAGTATTTTCAGTAGCAAATTCTTTTAATTAAAGAACTCCTATAAAACTAATAAGAGTTGATTTAATTGATAAGAAGTCGACTCATAATTCATAGAGTTGTGAGTTCAAATTTTACTAATGATATAAGAACCTTGTTAGCGAGCAATCTACAAGTATATTTATAAACACTCTTTGAATTTAGAGGTATGCTCTGCTTTGGTAAGCTCCCATAACTCAACTCATCTAAATTTTTTTGCATAAAAAAAAAAAGAAACTCCTGTACAGTAAAAGTAATTTTTTCTAATTAGATTTATTTTATATATAAAAAAACAAAAAAAAAACATCTCAACCATTTTATATAAGGAATGAGAGCACTGATGATGTAATCCAATATTTTGAGTTTTTAATAATTTTTTAAATGTAATAATAACTTTAAAATCTAATGAGTATTAATTGCTTATTTATACAATTCTAACGTTACTAATAATATTAAATCAAATTATTCCAAATATCCCTTCTTTCTCTATTGATTAATTGTACTATAGTACTATTTAACAGTTTCTCCCTCTAGAAAAACTGTGTGCATAATTTTAAGTAACAGATAATATTTATGTCATATCTATTATGATCAGCTGGACCTGTCCCTTCTTATTATTTATTTGTCGAATAAAGATATATAAAAGTCTCATAATTAATCCTTAGATTGGTGGTGATGATGATTTTTTTCAAAAAAATTGATCATCATCATTTACATAATTGAAAAGAAAAGGATGCGTAATAATCATGATACCTTAATTTAAATCGGATAGGACTTCCTTTTTTAAAAATAAAAAAAGAATTATACAATGAATAACCCTGTTTTAGGTACAAACTCTACAAGAACTTTATGATTAAAGGTTTTAGCAAAATCGTGCAAGACAAAGATCCCACCTAAGCGACATTTTACAGATAGAAAAGGTTGCCATCATTTTCATTTTGTTTAAAAAGCCAGGGAGTTTATGGAAGTTCGATGCAAACAAATGAACCAGCCGATCACTTTCCCGGTTAGTTAATTTAATAATTCAGTGTTAATTAACCAGAATTACGCAGCCACTCCATAACCTCTATGTCGGATGCGTCAACTCAATATCTGATTCACAGTATAGTCGTCGTCGCGCATCCATCTCTGTTATTAACACAACTACTCTCTACCAGATCTCCTTTGACTCATCAATTATAAATACAAAGTCATATAATTATATCTCTGAGAATTATGTCTAATTAATCTTTCAAGTCATTAACTAGCAACTTAATTGCACCAGATACTAAGTAACTAAATATGAAATACTACCTCCGGTCCTAATTATAAGACCCAGTTGATTAATTTGAGGAGATTAAGGAAGTAAATTGAGTTAGTTATTTGTCTTAAATAGGTGTTGTCTTTCCTAAAATATCCTTGCTAATCAAGTGTATTGACTAAAACTATCATTGTTAGAAGGGTTACTTTGGAAAAAAATATGTAAATATGAGAGATAAAATGGATTGGGGTCTTATATTTAGGACCAAAATAAAAGTCAAATAGGGTCTTATATTAAGGACCGGAGGTAGTACTAGTAAAGAATACTAGCATCGATCTGTGGTTGCGTACATATGCGTCATTGATGTGCGTGACGTTGAATATATATATATATATATATATATATATATATATATATATAGCACCAAACGCAACCTACTTACCATCTTTGGTTGCACCAAGAAAAGCCTTATATCCAGGTCTGGTCCCCGTGGTTCCAATGGCCAATGATTTCCTCAATCTTAGAAATAAAGCTAAACAAACGCAAAAGCTATATTTCTTGGTTAATTTTCTTCTCCATCGATGCTCCCTTTAAAGCCAAGCTTATGGCTTCCTTTGATGACCCAAATATGAATTAATTAACCTCCAACCTGTCATTTTTTATAATTATATATTATGCTTCAAGAATATTCACACCCGTGAAGTTTCCACCAGAATTGTTGCAAGTGACATAGGAACTGATTTTAATTTCCTGATGATCTATAACAATATAGAAAACGAATGCCTTCTTTACTGTGTAAGAATAATTCATATATCGATCTTCTTTCTTTTTGGTTTTTCCTTTTTTTGACTTGGTTGGCAGGGTCAGGGCCTTTCTCGATTGTCAATCGTGTGCTTTTGTTGACACTTGTGCATATTTATATTTTATACTCATAAACCAAACTATACACAATCTTTTTTTTTTGTAAGAGTATATTTGAATCTAAAGTTATGTTATGTCACATACATTGCCAAACGCTTATACTTGCCCCCCACCTTGCCAGCTTGTCTATAAATTTGAGCTTCTGGTCAGTTACGCTATCACTGCCCAGTGTTGGACACAGACAAGGCAACAACGTAAGAATGAGGCTCGTTACAGTTGTCTTGCTGTTGCTTCTTGCGTCGGTGGGATCCTCTGCTGCACCCAGCAGGTGGAGAAAAAGGGTTCACGAACCATGCAAGCGGCTTGTCTTCTACTTTCACGACGTCATATACAATGGTCACAACGCCAAGAATGCTACGGCAGCCATTGTAGGAGCTCCAACTTGGGGCAACAACACCATTTTGGGTGGTCAAAACCATTTTGGTGACGTGGTCGTGTTCGACGATCCTATCACCATGGACAACAATTTCCACTCTCCCCCAGTTGGACGCGCTCAGGGATTTTACTTGTATGATAAGAAGGATATCTTCACGGCTTGGCTTGGCTTCTCCTTTGTGTTCAACTCAACACAGCACAAGGGAAGCATCAACTTCGCTGGGGCTGATCCGTTGATGAACAAAACCAGAGATATATCAGTGATTGGTGGTACTGGTGATTTCTTCATGACTAGGGGTGTGGCTACTCTCATGACCGATGCTTTTGAAGGTGAAGTCTATTTCAGGCTTCGCGTCGATATTAAGTTGTATGAATGTTGGTAGTTATGATTACTTTCTGCAGTAGAGTTTCATCGATCTGTATGGTCCATATCTGATCTCTTGAATAACTTGCTTTTTGTTTCTGGTTCATCGCTCGCTAGCTGATTGCTGCCAGCTAGTTCTTTCTTTTCCGTTTAGCAACATTATTATATTGGAACAAGTCGAACCAATTGATTGCCTCAAGGCCTGGTTCATGACTTTAAAATTATATCGTTTGGTTTCCCTTGTAATTCAGAATCTGATGAGCCTGTAAGGAATAAGTTGTTCCATGAGTTTTGTTTTGCTAGGTTCCTCGTGTGTTTTATTGAATTGTGCTCTTCACCTTTTCCAGAGACAATGGAATATTAGGATTGTGATTTTCAGTTTTCTGAAGTCTCAAGCAACATCTCCTTTTTCTTTTTCTTATCTTTTTTCTTGAACTGCAATGACAAAGGTGTTTATCACTGTCAGTCCCATGCATAAAAGTAAAAAAGCTGTGTCTGTTACTGTTGACGTCGGCAGGTAATTGGTCAATCAACCAGTCATATTTTACAGCTAATTAACTAACTAACTCAATAATCATTGTTTAACTTTGACGAATAAACGGAACATGGCCCCCAGAAGCTTGTCTGATCTTGTGACGAATTTGGATGCCCTCAATTATTTTATGAGGTGAAGTACAAAGATAGAGGGAAAAAATGAATAACTCCACTAATATGAGTTTATACGTTTCGCTATTTCGTTTCTATCTCTTCTTCAACATGGTGGAACGTGACGAGAGTGAAGATTTCAGCAATTTATTAAAATTATTGGCCATTAGAGAAAGAATTAGAGGGTAAATTATTAATGTCATTTCGAAGCTTACTAATGATCACTTCTTATCAGATGATAGGAAAGAAAACAAATAAGAAAAAAATTATTCGCACAACTAATAAGGGGAAGAAAATTAATTAAACACAGCTGGATCTGTCAACGGCTGACCCTTCACCATTTTATTGGCATGAGCCTTTTTCCTTGTCTCCCCCTTAATTGTTTGAGTAAATTATTAATAGCATATTTTAGTTTCGGTCAAAATCAAAACACACGCTCTATGGAAAAATATAACGATTAAAAACCATGTTTTTATGTCGGTCAAAATTATATCACGCATTTGACGAAAAGCTACTCTCATGTTTTGACAAAAACTGAACACATAAACGCACTAGAGAAAAGGTATTACCTCCATTTTTTGAATATAAGAACTAAATAACTAATTAAAAAATATTAAAAAATTTAGTTAAATTGGTTACTTGTTACAAATGTGTGTTAGCTTCCCTAAACTATATATCTTCTTTAATTATATATATTAGAATAACTTTTGGTGAGAAGATATTTTTTAAAAAAATAAAAAATAACGGCGTTTTTGTTTCTTTTCCCAATTAAGCACTGAAGGGCGTGCCCGCACAAATACATTTTCAGAGGAAGCGGGTTTGCCTTTAGGATCGAACATCCTTCCAGCCTATTTTGACTGAGGACTACGATATCTTGCTTGTACGTTGACCCCAGCAATACTTGTATAATCTAAAAATAAAGTCTTATCTTTTAAAATTTAAAAAGATCTGTTAGATGATTAGTAGTCTGATTGACCCCATAGTCACTTAGGAACTATTTGGATCTAGCTATCCAGTCAGTCCAAGTGAATGTGAAAAAATTTGGTTTTTATCAGCATCAATTTAGATATTAATTAATCTGATCAGCCCAATGTTTCTCATTTCGTTCCTCCGATATACCTGGCCTTTTGGAACTGGGTCAAGATATTCTGAGAAATTAGATAACTTTTGGTGAAAGAAATTGTAGGAAAATGTGAAAAAGCAGTAGTATAGATTCATTATTGTTCACCAGGTGTAACCAAATCCAAAGTGCCCGTTATGATGAGCTTCATCGTAAGCTTGAAGCGATCGAGAAAAACAGAACAGCAAACCAGACCATCAGATAAATGAAGTGGCCCTTTAACCTTTTTTCAAACTGTATTGAGCTGTCTTTCACCCATTGGCTTTGAAGTGAAGCTCGAGCAATATAATCAATTCAAAGTTAGTAAATTTGCATGTGGCTCACACTTCAAAGTTCAAACTCTGAAGCCCAATCTTCATATAAATACACCCCACACGCTTGAACTTGCATTATATATCACCGGCTAGCCTGAGATCTTCTGCAGAGAAGACAACCCAGTAACCAACAATGGCGAATCAAAAGCTAAAATTTCCAGTTTCGGTCTTGTTACTCATTCTGATTGCCTGTGACGGGAAGCGACTTGGAGCCGACAGAAAGCCATGCAACAAGTTGTTGTTTTACTTTCACGACATACTCTACAATGGAAGGAACGAGAAGAACGCAACTTCAGCCATTGTGGGTTCTCCTGCATGGGGCAACAAGATCAAGTTATCAGGGAAGAACCATTTCGGAGACTTGGTTGTGTTCGACGATCCTATTACGCTGGACAATAACTTGTACTCAACCCCAGCGGGGAGAGCTCAGGGTTTCTACTTTTACGATAAGAAGGAGATATTCACGGCCTGGCTTGGCTTCTCTTTCGTGTTCAACTCAAGTCATCTCAGGGGAAGCATCAACTTCGCCGGCGCCGACCCTTTGATGAACAGTACCAGAGATATCTCCGTCGTTGGTGGCACCGGCGACTTCTTCATGGCCAGAGGCACTGCCACTTTGGTCACCGATGCTTTTGAGGGTGAAGTTTATTTCAGACTTCGCGTCCATGTCCACTTGTACGAATGTTGGTGACTGATTATTCCTGCTTCCTCAATCTTCATTCTTCCCAGGAGCGAGTGATTTCCATTGGTTTCAAGACGTTCTTCTACATCTGACCCGATATTTAATTTATTGTAGCTGGCGAAGAAATATTTGATTTATTGTATTTTTATATTTTTAAATATTTTTTATCGTCAGCTAATTGTTAAAAAATCAGAGACCCTGTTATTCATGCCAATATCTTTAAGAATTCGGTTTTAAATTTATGATTTAATTCAATTATCTTTTTTTATTTTTGATACAAAATCAAATTAAGCATTGTTAGACCAATTTAGAGGTTGAATCTCAATATAAATTTCCTTTTCATTAATAAAATTCAAACATCTCGAATGCATAAATAAAACTCAATTCAAATTGTTATTTGTTAATTATTGGGAAAAATAAAAATACTTCTGGGCCATGCTCAAAGAAGATGGAAGGCTCATTCATTAAACCTTAGCCCCATGCCCCATGGAATTACTAAGCCCAAGCCCAAGACCAAGCCCAAGAAACAAATAAAATATCGGCACGTGACATTTTAATGGGCTACTCTTTTTCCCCACGCAACCCAATAAGGGTTGCGAATTGGCAATAAAACTAACCGCTGGCCAACGGATAACCACTAAACAATTTTTCCCCCAAAAAAAAAAAGTAAAAGAAAAAAAAAACAGATAACCTGTGTGTGAGCTTTCATTGGTGGCGCCATTCTATAGTTTTCTGTTAAGCTTATCCCAAGACAAAAACCAACCAAGGCATTCATTTCTGGTGCAGCAGTAGCCTTCGCCTGAGCACAGTCCGATAAGAATGCGTGGCCTTACTCTCTCAGAGAGCATTTTGAGGCCACATTCACTTCCATCATTTCCCAGCTTTCCCAAGCCATTCACCTCTTTTCTTCTCTCTTCCAAGAAGCATACTTCAAAGCTTGCTTTGGAATTCCCGAGTTCCAATTCCTCCAGGTAAATACTGTAATTCAATGTTCTTACTAAAGATATTAATTAATGCCACATGAAATTCTTCGTTGCTTATCAGACAAGCACTTCTCCTCTGTTTTGTCGGATATCCAATGGGTTCTGCCTGAATTTTGGGAATTCAAACAAAACTGCGACTATCTTCTTTTTATATCATTCAATGTGTGTGCGCAAACTCACAATGTGAAAGTTGATCCCTCAGGTATTCCCAACGGTGTGCAAATACCTTCAGGCAGAGGTCTTGCTGCGATCTACAACAAGATTTTCAAAAATTGAGGGAACCCGGGGTAATTCTCTGCACCAGGGTTCCTTTCAATCTCATCTCTCTAGTGGGAAGATAGAATTTAGTGGGTAGGAAAGAGGAAAGAGGCATGTCTTTCTTAACTGCATCGCAGTCCGATATGGTCGATGGACTTTAGTTTTGGGCTGAAAGCCAAGTTATTGATTGGATGTATTCCAAAGGCTATACATTTGGTTTGTCAAAATAGTGAAAATTGCTTTTCACGCATGTCTGCCAACATGTATGATCCTTAGTTTCTCCAACCTTTTGTCGCAACTGGCCTGAAAAAATAATTTTAAACGCTTATAATCGTTTTCACTTTTTCTGGTCTGCACCTTGCAGTTTTCTGTCAGAGAGGTTTGTTGCACTGATTTATGTTCCTATTAGCGTCTATTGTCATTGTAGATGTAATGTGCTTAATTCATGTGTATCTTGACACAGAAATTGAGTCATGTTTACAAGAATGGTGAAGCAACGAGCTACTGCCGTAGTTCAAATAAATTGGTTGTCGAGAACTCCAACAAGGAATGTCACGTAGACACAGATGTTTTTTCTAATAATGCATCCAGTGGACTCCTGAAGTTTATGCTTTTGTTTGGGTTGCTCACATTTCAAGACACTTATCCAGCTGCTGCTTCAGATTTGGCTAGTGGGTTCAATTCAGTTCCCATATTAGGGGATTTGGGTGACATAAGCACAGGTTTTGCTTCAGTTAGTAAAATCTCCCTGTCACTTTTATGTTCAGACTTTTTTAGGTACTTTAAGCTAAGCAATACATTTAGAAGGGACAATGGAACTTGTTTCGGCTTGCCCTACTTTAAGATTCAATAGTTATTCAAAACAGATTATGATGGACCTAGTGATGTTTTCTTAAATTTAATTTTGGTCTCTTGGATTTTAATGACTGCATCTCAAGGACTGATTAACACTTCCTGCATATTTTATTACAGGCTTTCCTCCTAATTTTTTTCTCAGAACTAGGAGACAAGACCTTCTTCATTGCAGTAAGTGTACAACAATCCATGGCTTGCTAATCCCCATTCAAAATAGGAATAACGGAAAAGTAAAAGTTTAGCATTACTAAAGCATGGTAACCCGTCTATTAATTTTCATAATATTATTTCAATAGAAATATGTCCGCATAAACAAATTCTTAATCTTAATGCAATGCAACTAAGGGCACAAAGTAGCTTCACGCCTTTTTTTTTGTTTGTGTTTTCATGCAAAATAGAATATTTATGCTTGGGTTCGACAATGATATGTAGTATAATTTGGATAAATGATGCCTTGTGCAGGCACTCTTGGCAGCTAGGAATTCGGCTGTGGTCACTTTCGTTGGGACATTCGGTGCACTCGCGTATGCTTTTCTGTTTCAGTGACTTAGATGTTCCTTATGGCTTATACCTCACTAAAGTGGAGTTCCTCATAATTACTCACTTTGAGTGAGAAGCTGATTAAAGTAACTACTGTGAAAATATTGCCAGTCTGGTATAGTCAAAGTGGGAGAATAAAATCCTCCCTGGAGCCAAATTAGTGAGAAGAATCAGTAGTAAATTGCTTTCTTGTCTTCTGGAGAACACATTTCCCCTGTACTGTTGTCCTTAAGCATGTAACGTGTCTATAAGTTAATGGTCTGAGTTACATTGGCTACATGTTACTAGCATATAGTTGCTAAGTTTAAAAACAGATCTGGCCGCTATATTTTATTGATAATTTTCTATATATATATATATATATATATATATATATATAAGCATAGATTCTTCCATTATACGTCATTCTTTAGATTACTAATATCTATCTGTCATTCTCAGGGCGATGACTATTGTATCTGTTGTTCTTGGACGAACTTTTCATTATGTTGATGAAATATTGCCATTCAGGTACTTTGTTTATTTTCAAGATTATTTTGGGCTAAAGCTCTATAACATGGCATGTAGAGATGAATAGAGTGTAAAAGTTGAAATCCTTCTGATGATGCCATATTTTCAAGCTCTATAACAGGATAGAATATGATGGAAATTGTAGGACATTTGAACTTGAGAAAAGACCAAGTCTGCACCATGCAAATGAGAAATTTTTATTTATTTTATCAAGCTATTAATGAATGATATAATTGTAATTTTGGATATCAGGATTTGTTTTTGGGCATTTCCTGCCTTTTCCTTTTTGTTTGTAGAGTTTAGAACCTTATGACCTGAGAACTTAATCAGACTGATATCTTTATTGAAAACTATCTTTGGCCAGAGTTTTAGAGTGACTTGCACATGCCTTGTTCTATCTGTACTTTCACAGGTTTGGTGAGACGGATTTACCTGTTGATGACATTGCTGCTGTTGGCCTTTTGGTAAATACCATCTTCTATTTGCTGCTATTTACTGTTCTTACCTAAAGCCACCTCTCAAATTTATGCTGCATTCAATTGACCTCAGGTGTATTTTGGGGTCTCTACCTTGCTTGATGCCTCATCTAGTGATGGTCAATCAGAAGATGAACAGAAGGAGGTAATATTAGCATTAGATTTATCTCTGGCTTTGAAATGGTTTTGCACTTTGCAATGTTATTTAACATCCAGTTTTGATAGGAGTATTTGAACGGTATATAATTATTCCTTTCTGTCCAGGCAGAGTTAGCAGTTTCAGAATTTTCAGGAAATGGTGCTGGCATACTAGCTGCTGCTAGTACAGCAGTCAGCACTTTCCTCCTAGTTTTTGTTGCTGAATGGGGTGACAAATCATTTTTTTCTACAATCGGTGAGTGGCAAAGCTAGAATTGCTGGCCGATAAAACATGCTGTCATATATGAGTTTATAATGAGAAGTCCTTACATTTTTCCTCTAGTAAGTGAAATTGGCTCATAAAAACTACACAGAAACTTGGTAAGACTTGGGCTAAAAAGGTGTAGTGTCTTTTGATATCCGTCAGGCTAAAGATAACACTTATCTCTGCTAAAATGCATTTGAAAGGGGTTAGAAATAAATCATTATTTAAAATCTTACCCACATGAAAAACAAATATGTTGCATCTAAATAAACAAACCAGTAATTAGTAAATATATAAAATGCATAAATATGTGAAACCTATTAGACTATAAAGCTGAGTTGTCACTCATGTATATGCATGGTTCAAAAAGAGTTTACAGATTCTCACTTTCTCTTCCCCCTATGCAGCCCTTGCAGCGGCTTCCTCACCCCTCGGAGTCATTGGGGGAGCACTGGCTGGTCATGGTGTAGCAACCTTGGTAATTCTCTGCTTCAAACTTAACTAGACCTTGGATAGCGATTTTTAGTGATAGATGCATCGTCTGGATATGAACATATGTCATGCTTAAAAGAAACAAGGATGTATTGTTTACAAAGATCATATAAATCAATATATTTCATGGGGAAAGTTTCCTGAAAAATATTAAAACACCCGATGTCCAAATTCTTCGCCTAAAATATTGGAAATGAGTTAAACATCTTGCAAACATACTTTTGCTTAGGTCTGCATCTAAATGATATATCGAAAGTACTATGCTCTCAGTGCCTTTCAAATAAACACGTAATAATATATAATGGGTTTTGAAAATTTATTCCAAAGCATCTTGAAGTCTCTTATATTTATCCGTGACGGATGCGTTAAACATAGGTTTTAAGCATGTCTTTCTAAGAAGACCTTGAATATCAAGAAACAGGCATGCGCAGTCCAAGTCAAAATAGGTGGGTGGAAAATAACAATGTATTATCCATGATATAAGTCTAGATACATCGCCAATTGGCACCTTCTCACTTTCCCTCCAATTAAGCACATAGTAAGATTATGTAATTTCTATCTCTTCAACAAGTCGTTCCTCCTTTCTCGTCGTATTTCCACGATGATTATGGATTGCTTTTGGCTGACGGTTTCTTTTAAATGCAGCTAGCAGTGCTGGGGGGCTCTTTACTTGGGACATTTTTATCAGAGAAGGTAACTTTTGACCTTTTGGCTTGTGCCCCGGCCCCTGATAAGGCCGCTGTGTTCTCCCTCTGTCATGTTAGTTTCACACTTCAGAGTTCCCTCAATCGGACAAGTAGACCATATCACATAAATCGGGAGCCTCCCAAGTCAATATGATCGAGATAATTAAATAATAATACCATTTCTCAGGCAAAAGAGCGTGCATCTACTTATTAGGATAAACAATAAAACTTGAGATATTTTCTATAATTGCTTTATTGAGTTAGTGCAGCGTATGGAATCCAGCTTGCGGGACTCTTTTCAGTGGTTAATTTTCAGCCAATAAAAATGCGCATAAAATCAAATATGGCCGCTATGAACAAAAGCAACATGGTAGACGTTCATTTGGAGGCGCCATTATTGGAAGGAACATGTTCCTTCAACCTGATAAGACACGACCAAATAGAAGCTTCCCCGGCGGGGATGGCTCAAAGTACCTTACATAAGCATAAGAATGCTTCGACGTCCTTTTACCCTGGTTTATATTCTGTAGATATATAGCACTATGGGCGAAGCATAGGACTACTTTTGTTCTTATTATGATATGATTTTGTTTTCTTGGGAATATACCTCATTCATGCAGCGAGAAGCTAAGAAGGCTCTTGTTCCATTTTGAAGGTTATCGCGTACATCGGAGGCGCTCTCTTTCTTGTCTTCGCTGCAGTAACCTTATTTGAAATAGTGAATTAGAGGTAAAGCCCCACCTGAAGTTGCTTCGGTGACGATCCCAACTTCGCTACCAAGCCACACCAAGACGGGAAGAAAGCAGCAGCCTGTGGAGTTATTCGTTTGTTTTTGTTTTTTGTTTTGGGTTCAATTTTGTAAGAACAACGAAATTCAAGCAGACAAGACACACAGTATGGCTTTCATTTTTATCAAACGTTTGACATTGGAGCCGTGTGTTAGGTAGATTTGGTTTCAAAAAGGCGATGTTTTTCATATAAATTCATATACTCCTCAGCAAATAAAATAATTTGTTGCATCTTACGTTGTGAGAGAGAAGGAAAGAGAAAAGGTTGAAATATGTGCAACGAAATGAAAAGATGCAGGACACTTAGATGTCTTGGTGTGATTCTCTTTCTTGACAGAGGCCCGCGGCACTACCACGGAGGATTTTGTTCAGTAGTCAATAGTCACTTTGACGAGTTTTTCTCAGGTCCCTAGGATTCGATCGCATTTTACTTTTGAAATTTAACCTTATTTTAATTTTAATTTTTAAAATTTGAAATCAATAATTTTGATTTTTAAAATTTAATTTAATTTTGATTTGGGTCGTTATTTTAGAGACAAAAACACTATTCCAAGTATTAAAAATCTTCAGGTGAACTCAAATAAAGTTAAAATGAAGTCAAATTTTAAGAATTAAAACCATTTGTTTCAAATTTAAAGAATTAAAACTGATTTGAATTTTAGTGATTAATTTCATAGTATTAATTATTTTTTAAAAATATGTACTTTATTGGAACCGTTATTTTTTTTTGTAAATACTATTTTAGTTCTATTTACAAATCACTTTCAATATGTTTCGTACAGATCAAGAAAAACTTTAAATTTTATTAACTATGATTTAAAATTTAACAACTTTTTAACTTTATTCCTATTTAATATATATTATACTCTTTTGGTCTTATTTATAAAACAGAGAGAGAATTTTTTTTGTTTTATTTATAAGTCATTTCATTAAATTTTTAGCGTGAATATACTATTTTGTCCTTCATTTATTATAGTATAAATAGTTATCTTTTTTGAGAGATGAATATATTAAATAGGGGTAAAGTTAGAAAGTTGTTATATTTTAACGGAGAGTTAATGCATTTTAAGGTTTTTCTTGATCTGTGTCAAATATATTAGAAGTACCTTATAAATAGGATCAGAGGAGTATTTCATATAAACAAAGTTAAAAAAAAAATAAATAACAGGTAAAATTGTATATCCATATAAAAAATATAAGTAAGATCATAAAAATATTTTTTCTCTCTTTTATAAATAATTAAATAGCAGCAGAGGAGTGCGTTGTCAAATTGAGGGGCGCATGGAGATTCGAAATGAAGATTAGAATAAAAGGGTGAGCAGGTGCATGTGGGTGAGGGGAGAAGCAAGAGACGTGGCGGTGCCTCGCCCACCGGTAAGAAACAAGGAGTAGTGAGAAAATCAAAAGGTATGAATGTGCCGGTGGACACGTCATCAGTTTCCCCCAGCATCACCCTTTTCCCCTCCACTTTCTAACCTGTCTGGCTGTCTCTCTTTCATTTGTGTGTCTGTGCACAGCCAATGCCATAAGAGAACGGAAATTTGCGTGCTCTTATTTTGACAATGAAATCTGTGGTCAACTGTTCCTAATTTACGAATGTTGTGTTTTCGTTATAAATCTTATTCACACCGTTTTTATTTTTGGAGGCCTGGATCATTGGTTAGATATTTGTAAATTAAATGCTGTGACGATCTCAATAATCAAATTTCATTCTTTTTAATAAGAGTATCTGATCTTTTGACCACTGAATATTATTAATCCGTTTTAAAATATTAATGCCGTCTTGATGGAAGTATCCTCCACTTCTTCACTGTAGTCTCTGAGAGTTTGATTCTCAGACAGATTATTCATTTTATTTGCTTGCCCCTCCTTTTATGTGATTTATTTTCAGGGTACTTGTTTTCCTCCCAGTCAATTGTATATTTCTGTCTTTAATACTCCCTCCGTTTCTTATTATAAGAGACAAATAACCGAAGTACGTTGATCAAAAAAACAGTTAAAATTAGTTGAGAACAATTAATGTGTAAAAAGTATAATTTTTTTTCTAAAAATACCCTCATTAATAAGGAGAGAGCATGAGAGATAACAATTAATTTATTAAAAGAAAGAGAAGTGGGAGGAAGAGAGAGTGTGAGTTGGAGATAATAAATATGGGTAAAATAGTAAATCAACACAAAAAAGTAGAGACAACTTGTAAGTGTCTCTTATATATAGGAACATGCCATAAGCATCAAATGTCTCTTATAATAAGGAACGGAGGGAGTATAAAATATTTATAACTTATTCTTACATATCAAAAGATGTATTAAATTGGCAAAATTTTTAAATTTTATTCTCAGTTAAAAAATTTTTCTCTCTCAATTACAACTTAATTTTATGTCACGTGCTACACAAAAGCTAACTGAAATTTAGGACCGATTTGAAACAATTTGTAAATAATTTTTTAATTATAGTTTATAGAATATAAGATAAATATGTCAAAAGAGTTTTATTTTAATTTATATAAATATAAATAATTGTGAATGCTATCTCAAACAGGCTTTTAATTAAAAAAAGGGCGGGGGCAAGCCCCTTGTTTTGAGATCCAGATTCCGGACAAACAGAGGAAAGTAGTTTCAAGATGGGGAGGAAATCTAGATTGTCTAAATTAAATTAAATGTTTTTTATTTTTAAAAATTATTTTAATATGTACCTGCCCTGGAATAAAAATGCTGTATTAATTATTAGTTTTCCAAAAAAACTTTTAATTAAAGATTTTCAGTTAACAATTTTAACTCTATTCTCTTAAAACTATACTCCCTCTGTTCCTTATTATAAGAGACATTTGATGCTTATGGCATGTTCCTATATATAAGAGACACTTAAAAGCTGTCTCTACTTTTTTGTGTTGATTTCCTATTTTACCCATATTTATTGTTTCCAACTCACACTTTCTCTCCTTCCCATTTCTCTTTCTTTTAAAAATTTACCATTGTTCTCTCTCATACTCTCTCTCCTTAATAGTAAGGGCATTTTTGGGAAAAAAATTATACTTTTTACATATTAATTGTTCTTAACTAATTTTAACTGTTTTTTTTATCAACGTAATTTAATTATTCGTCTCTTATAATAAAGAACGGAGGGAGTATATTTAGGGTAGCGTAAATTGCTAAATCTCATCATAATGATAAATACCAGATGCTGATCTGCGATGGTCACAGAAACTGTTTTAAGATTAGGAAGGGGGTGAGAAGAAAGGGTTGGAAACGGAAACCGAGCAAAATATCAAGGCAGGAGTGAAGGGGATTGGAGTAAAATTAAAGCATATATAGGGACGGAGGCAGCAGTGCGAGTGCAGGAGGGAATATTGAATATGAGAGAGCAAATAGGCAAAACATGTGGGTATTATAGTAATTATAAATTTATGAGAGTATAAAAGAGAGGGCAGCACCGCGCAAGATTTGGAGGGACCAACCAGGGGGCATATGCTTCGCAATCACATCAGCAGCGGGAGGCCTTTTTCATTGGCCCCTCATTCCACATACTTCTATCCTACCGGTCATATAAAATATAATTATCACGTTAATTTTAATTTTAAATATAAGAATTATTTTTTTATTTATCAATTTTTTTTAAATTGTCTTTATGGATACTCTCTCAACCATAATCAAGTAAAAGATGGGGAGAGGATATTGAGGAAGATGATTATAGTGTCTTGAGAAAAATATGTCATATTTCTTATAATTAACTAACTTATCTAAATTTTTTAATATAATCAAATTAGTTAAATAGATCTTATATTAAATATCAGAGGAGTATCTTATTTATAAGGCAGAGAAAAAATTTTTTTGATCTTATTTATAGGATATTGAGAGAAATTTTTTATATGAATGTATAATTTTACCCTTCATTTATTATTGTGTTGACTTGTTTACATGAGCTATAAATGTATAATGTATATTGAATATGGATAAAGTTGAAAAGTTGTTGAATTTTAAATAACAGTTAATGAAGTTTAAGGTTTTTATTAGTTTATGTGAAACATATTGAAAATAACTTATAAATAGAATTAGAGAAGTATTTATATTTATAAGATGCGGCAAAAGTTTTATTTATCCAATTTACTACCTCCGGTCCTAACTATAAGAGTTAGTTGACTAATTTCAGGAGATTAAGAAAAGAAGTTAAGTTAATTATTTGTAACAAATATGTGTTATCTTTTCTAAAATATCCTTACTAATCAAGTGTATTGGCTAGAACTGCTATTGTTAGAAGGATTACTTTAGGAAAAAATATATAAACATGAGAGACAAAGTAGATTGAGTTCTTATATTTAGAACCAAAATAAAAGTCAGACAAAATCTTATATTAAGGATTGGAAGTAGTATGTCATATTATTAAATTTTTAGAGTGTAGTTTTAATAAATTTTAAAAAATATTTTGGTACATGAAAAATATGTTACAAATAACTCGAATCAAATGATATTTAACAAAGTTTAGGATTTTGTTACTTACTAATAGCATGGAACATGACGGAAATGCTGGGTAAATAAGGAGACCAAAGGAATACTTATTAAATATAATTAAAATTAAAATGGAATCACTGAACGCTGACTTGGTGTCACGTGTTAACCGTACTCTTGCTTCCCGCTCCAAATTCCCAACATGGCACGTGCCTCCCCAATCTACCGAATCTTTGTTGGCATATTCCTTCCCTTCTTTCGCGATCCTTCCATTTCTATATCTCTGTTGACTTTTGTTTCCCAGCCCAAGAAAAAGGAGGAAAAGAAATCCCGGACGGCTTTTGTTGGATCACGTGGCGTCACTGTCACAGACAGGGTGGATCCTCACGGTACCATCTTCCCCCGATCCCATCCGACGGTTTCCAAACCAAAACCATCTCGGGAATTGAAATTCAATCTGATCCGTTCCTTTCATCTCTTCCTTTAACCTACGGTTGGATTCACGCCAGTTGACAGTCGATAAGGGCGGATAGGGAGCACCATTCTTTTTCTCGGGCCTATATTATCCTTTCTTATTTCTTTCATCATTACTTCCTTCGTTTCTTATTATAAGAGACATTTGATACCTATAGCATATTTCTATATATAAGAGACACTTACAAGTTATCTCTATTTTTTTGTATTGATTTACTATTTTACCCATATTTATTATCTCCAACTCACACTCTCTCCCCTTCCCACTTCTCTTTCTTTTAATAATTTAATTTTTCTCTCTCATACTCTCTCTCCTTATTAATGAGGGCATTTTTGAAAAAAAATTATACTTTTTACGCATTAATTGTTATTAACTAATTTTAACTGTTTTTTTAATCAACGTACTTCTGTTATTTGTCTCTTATAATAAAGAACGGAGGGAGTATCATTATTTGTTTCCAATATAAAAGTTCAAATTTATGAACCAATCATTTGATAATTGATACATTTTGCATGCAATCTAAGTTAAATTAACATCTTCAGCATCACCAGCATTCAAAAAAATTATATATTATTCTCCTTAAAAATTATAAATATTATTCTTCCGGTCTTTAATATAAGAGTCAATTATTGAGTTGGTTTATAAGACCTATTTATTATATTTATTAATTTTTTCTAAATTATTCCTATGGATACTCCCTCAATCATAATCAAGTAGAAGAAAAAGACGGGGCAGTAAGAAAGATAATTATGGTATTTTAGAAAAACATGTCACATTTTTTATAATTAACTAACTTATTTAATCTAATCAAATTAGTTAAATGAGTTTTATATTAAAAACCGGAAGAGTAATATATATTATTCTCCTTAAGATATTCAAAACAATTTAAAATATTAAGTCCAGATGAAAAGGAGAAATTTGGAAGAAGGAGGGCATCAAGAGTTGACGTGAAAGGGCGAAGGGAGAGAGAGGGACGCGATATGAATCTGTTCGGTGTTTAGCGATGTTGTTTCGCCACGCCACCCCGACCCTTCAGTGCCCCTCCTTCAACTTCACGCGAATCACACGTCATCCCCCCCCCCCCCAACGTACTCTCTCTCTCTCTCTCTATTTTTATTTAAAATGTTATTTATTTTCCTCTTCCTTTGCTCTCCCCACTTCACGTTTTTTGTTTTCCCCGCATCCCATCAAAGTCTCTCACAATTATTGAGCGTTAACCTGCTCTTGTCTCATTGTTACTTTTAATTTAACTAATATTTGTTTGTCTCTAATTATATAAAAAAAAAGTTTTGAACAAAAATCAAACTATTATTTTAAAATTATTTTATAGTCTACGAAATAAATATATAAAATTAATTTTATTTTAATTTATATAAAAATATTTTTTAAACGTCTTTGTTTTAAAATATGTTCTATTCATCGCATTATAAATTTTTAAATGCAATAGTATATATGTAAGTCTTAAAGTATCGCATGAAACTTGAAAAATGAAGTTAAAAAAAAAGATAAATTATTTATATTTATGAACAGGAGATAGAAATTATAAATCTACTTAAAATTTATTTTTTCAGGAATGTTTAGTTTAATTTCAAGCATTAAATTTTTATCCGCTGTTTTGACAATCACATAGATTATAGGGAAAATCCTAACTAAATCCTGTTGAAATACTTAAATTTAAATTGAGGCCTGCACTTTTAACAAATTCTTAATCAGGACATAAGACCTAATTAGGAATTGCTGAATATTGTTAAATAACTATAATGCCCCTCTTTAGTTAAAAATGAAAATTAATTATTTATCCCTCTAAAGTGGTACATCATCTCTTATTATTAATATTTAACAAAAAAATATAAATAATTTTTTAGTGTTTGAAATTTTGTAATATAACTAAAATCTTCAAAATATTTTCATAAAACATTTCAAATTATAATAGAAGTAATCTTTAAATAAATATTTTTTCAGGTCGTAAATATTTATTTTAAAATTTTAAAATATTTTAATTATAATAAAAATTTAATATTAAATCGTAATCATTTACATTTTCAGTTGGATCCAACATTATTTAAATAAATAAAACTAACATAAATTATAAAAACTGAAAATTAAAAAAATTTATTTAAACTTTACTTATATTTGTAATTTAACATGTTTTATTAAAATATTTTTAATAGTGTAAGTTATATATACAAATTTCAAACATTGTAAAATTACTTATATGTTTTTTGGTCTAAAAAAAAATCATAAGAGATGAGGAATTACTTGGGAGAGGTATATTAATCAAATTTTATTTTTAATTTAAGAAGGGCATTCTAGTTATTTAATAACATTTAGAAATCCCTAATTAGGTCTCATGGCCTGATTAGAAATTTACTAAAAATGCAGACCTGAATCTGAATTTAAGTATTTCGGCTGGATTTAATTGGAATTCTCTCTAGATTATATTCAAGTCACATCATTTATTTGCTTGAGTCAATGGAGCCCATAGAAAATTTGCAAATCCATTTCTAAACCTGTCCTCTGGTCGGATGAAGAAAAATCAAAGCGAAAGAGCCATTTTTATTCCATTTAAGAAATGAGGATATTATATTTATAATATTTTTTTCTACGAAGAAGATTTAAACTATTAGTTTTTTTTCCTATTCTACCCTTCACGCCGCCTGGGCTGATCCCAATATAAATTTTCATAATAGTATTTTATTAATAAGTTAATCATTTATAAGATCAAGAGGCTATTTCTCACTCACATAACCAATATAAATTTTCATAATAGTATTTTATTAATAAATAAAAATTAAAAATACATGGATTTGATTAAAAATTTAGTGAAATTATAAGGACTTAAAAAAAAGAAAAATAAATGCAATAACCTAATTAAAAACAGGTAAAAGTATAAGGACCTAATAAAAAAGAAAAAAACTATAAAAACATAATTCAAAATTGGTTGAAACTATAAGGATTTGTGAATTAATTAACCCTAAAAAGATTAAATATTGTTTTTGTCCTGAAAGAATTTATAAAGAACTATGAATATTTAGAATTTTTTTGCAATAAATGTCACTCTAAAAATGTTACAAAAATAAGCAATACTACATTTTCTGTTAAAAATTTTAACGGCTAATATTAATTTTTTAAAAGCATAATATTATTTATTTTTAATATTTTTAGCACATTAAATAATTTTTTTTTGAATATTCACAGTTGTTTGACCAATGCTTTCAAAACAAAAATAATCTTTAATCCATTATAAAACGTGTGAACAAGAATGAAGGACGTTCAGTAGCATAATCAGTTACTGTATGAATATATTCGGAATAATAATAAAAATAAGAACAATAAACGAAAATAGAAACGAAACCCTAGTTACTGCTTTCTCCATCTTTGAAAGACAGCCACGTCTGGATGGTAGCATGCGCCGTGTCTCTTAACTCGCCATTCTCATCCCTTATTATTGCCATCACTCCACCTCACCGTTCCTTGTTGGTCTCGCTTGCATTTCTCATCCCTAGCACTCCTCTTGTCCTTGCCGCCTCTCAGAACGCTAAGCCCCTTCCTCTACTCTATTTGCACGGGCAGATAATTCCCAATCAAATCATATCGATGAACTAGGTAACTCTTCTGAAGATCGGAGATGTTAAATCTTAAAATCCTGCCTTTTTTTTTGGGGTTTTCAATCTGATCTGCAGTGAGTTATGCCAATCCTATTGCCTATTGTGGGAGTTCTTCTGTGCTCAAAATCCAAAGCTATATCAATTATCAATTAAGCTATGGTTTTTGGGTCCTTTACGTTATCATTTTCTTTCTTGGTGCTCTAATTGTGTGAATTGGAGGGAGTGTGAACTTTGGTTGATGGCTACGAGAGTATAATTTCTTTTCAATTCAATAACGCAGCCCTTTGGTGCTGGGTGAAAAGTGAAAATTTTGATTAGTTCCTCGAACAGAATGGTGAAAGGGAACAGTCTTTTTATTTGTCCGGCAACTCTGGGTTACAAACCACCGTCGCATTAGCTCCGATGAATTGATTTCCTTTGCGATTCCAAGCTTTTTCATTACTTACCTTTTCAATGTACAATTTCGGGTAAATTCCTCATATTCTGCTCTTGGGACTGCTAATCATTTGCTTTTCATCTATGTTCTATTCTTTTTTCTTTTTTTCCTGGGTTAAGATTCTACATTCTTTGAACAAGTTCTTGGGCCTCTCAGGTTTTATTTGTCTGGGTGGAAACACCTCCTCAGTTATGCATCTTCCCTTCTTTCTTGGACGATTAGATTATGTTTTTTTTCATACCATTCTAGCCATGTTTAGGCTCTGTTTGGATAGCACCCCAAACCAGGGTTTGGGACCCAAACCATGGTTTGGGGAAAATGCTACCCAAACAGCCTCTCCAAAAACCAAAACCATGGTTTTGGGTCAAAACCATGGTTTTGACTCCAAAACCATGGTTTTGAAAAAAGCAAAATTTTTTGCTTTTGGAGAAAAAAGGGAGAGTATTGTGGGCCTATATGATATGTATCTTGGTATTTTTTTTAAACATATTTTTTATAATATATTTAATCTTATATTTATAAATTATATAGACTTAATTATTAATTAATTATATTATCTTATGTATTATTAATTATGTTGGTAAAAACATATTATTAACAATTTTATTTCTTCAAATTAAAATATATCATAAAAATCTATTTTTTCTGTAATTATCATATTAACTTATGTCTTTTTTTTAGTACTTGTATATATAAAAAGTGCTTCTGATAACCAACTATCCAAACACTCTCACTTCTCAGAATCACTTTTTTACAAAAATCTATTCTTCACAGAATCTATTTTTTCCAGAATCTATTCTCCAGAATCACTTTCCAAACCACGGTCAGTGGTTTCATCCAAAACACCCTTAGGTTGTGTTAACCGTCATATCACTTTGGTTTGTCTTCTCTTCTGTCATATGCAATTTCTGTGACTCGTATTTAGATGTGGAAAAAGGGAAAAAATATTTAGATGTGGAAAAAAAAATATTTCTGTGACGATTAGATTATTTCTTTTTCATACCGCATTAGCTCGTTCAGCTGTGCTAGTCACTAATGCTCTCTCTTTCTAACAGGATGATTGACATCCAAGCTGAACTTTTGAAGGAATTAGATCAGGTGGCAACCTGCTCTTGCAACAGCTCATAAGCTCAACCATTGCTTAAACTTCCATTAGATGGATCGGCGCGATACTTCAGGATTTGTCAGTGGGGGTGAATCATACTCATGTAGACTCATCTAACCCTAACTTTGTAGAGAGAAGTATATATTTATATTGTTATTCACCCGGAACTCAGGCAGGCTTTTCTGTTTAAATTGGTTAGACTTAGGTATTAGTATTGCTATTGATTTATGGACAGGAGGTTCCAGAACTTGGGATTCACTGCTAATCATTCTGTTAATGCATTCAACATTTTGGGCAACTCTATGCAAGTTGATGGATTTGGAGTGGACTATGGCACAGATACCATCCTACGACTTGATTCCCCTTGTTCTTCAGTTCCCTATATGTCCTCTAAGGGAACAAAAAGGAAGTGGGATTTAGTGGATAGATGCAGGGGCCAGAGAATTGGCTCTTCTTTGTCTCTTGGGCTTGGGCGTTCAACAAGTTCCTCAGACAGCAAGGGAAGTTCAGCTACCGCTTGCACTGCCATGTCTTCAGCTAAAGAAATTGATGAGGAATCCTCTATGGATATTGAACTGGACTTTACTCTTCATCTTGGTTCTGAAAAGGTACAGAGTCAGAAAAAACCTGCTGCTACAAATTTGAAGACCTTGCAATTGCAGCCCAAGGTTGATTTGGAGTTGAGCCTTTCCACTGGGCCTCCGAGTCTGACATACAAGTGTTCATCCAAGTCCCTCACCTCTTCCATTGAGTATGGAGATTCCATTAGCATTAAGTGGGGCACAAAATGCAGATGAGGGATCGTCTTGCAGTTGGAAGGAAGGTACTGCTTTGCCATCATCAAAAACTTCCTTTAATACAGGCACTAGCTTCCTTCAACCCATGCTTCGGAGAATTTCAACCATAATCCCTTGTTTTGGACCTCCCATCAAATACACCAAAAAGTTCAGTCACCTGTGCTTCCGGGGTAACACAGCAGCAACAGCTGCATCATCGAAGCAGTAGTTCTAAGACATGTCAAGTTGAGGGATGTGGAAAAGGAGCCAGGGGTTGCTTCGGACGTTGTATATCCCATGGTGGGGGGTAGGAGGTGTCAGAAACCTGGTTGCCACAAAGGAGCTGAGGGTCGGACTGTGTATTGCAAGGCCCATGGGGGTGGCAGGAGATGTGAATTCCTTGGTTGCACTAAAAGTGCAGAAGGGCGTACTGATTTCTGTATTGCTCATGGTGGTGGTCGGAGATGCAGTCATGAGGGTTGTGCTCGAGCTGCCAGAGGAAAATCAGGACTGTGTATTCGGCATGGTGGTGGCAAAAGATGTCAGAGAGAAAATTGCACCAAGAGTGCAGAAGGACTGTCAGGTCTTTGCATTTCTCATGGTGGAGGGCGTCGGTGCCAAGCTTCTGGATGCACAAAGGGGGCCCAGGGCAGCACAATGTTCTGCAAAGCACATGGTGGGGGGAAACGGTGTACTGCACCAGGGTGCACCAAGGGTGCTGAAGGGAGCACCCCCTTTTGCAAGGGTCACGGTGGAGGAAAGCGATGTGCATTCCAAGGTGGTGGGATTTGTACTAAAAGTGTGCATGGAGGCACCAACTTCTGTGTGGCACATGGGGGTGGAAAGAGATGTGCTGTGCCTGAGTGCACCAAGAGTGCTAGAGGACGGACTGATTATTGTGTTAGACATGGAGGAGGCAAGAGATGCAAGTTTGAAGGGTGTGGAAAGAGTGCACAGGGCAGCACTGATTTTTGTAAGGCACATGGTGGGGGGAAGAGATGCTCTTGGGGCCATCCTGGGTCAGAATATGGCAACCAACCTGGTGGCCCTTGTAACTCATTTGCAAGGGGCAAAACTGGTCTCTGTGCACTTCATAATGGGCTAGTGCAGGATAAGAGGGTTCATGGTGGTGTGTCATTGGGATCTGTTCAGGATCCTCATGTTAGTAAACCAGATGAACAAAAGCAGGTAGTCATTGTGGAAGACCTGGATATGGATGGGAAGAAAATGGAAACTGCTGCTGTGAGTGCTCGTGTCTCAGCTGGGGAAGGTAGCCACATGCCAATGTCCGTAGCTTTTCTGAAGGTAGGGTGATGGTGGAAGTCTTATGGCAATGCTGGCAGGGGGTTCTGGCCCTGGGTCAACTAGCAGAAGAGGTTTGGTTTGTGATTTATCTGAGCCACATAAAGCTTACGTGTTGCCACAAAGTTGGATCTGAAGGCTTGTTATTGCTGCTGCTGTGATATTGGTCTCGGAAGTGGGCAAATTTCATAGCGTGTAAGTTGATGATTGTTAGTGATTCTATCATCCTTCCTGCTGAAGGATCCAGAGTTGCTTGCCATTCTTATGGCGGGGACAGTTGTCAAAATAGGATATTTGTTGTACTTTAATTTGGTATTTGCCGTTCGTTTGCTCATCCTCTGTAAATATAATATTTGATTAAAACGTTCAGCAGGCTGTGAATTCTGGTCCTACCTGTATGTTCTGTCGGTGTGCTATGTATTCTACATGCAATAAAATCCTTTCCTAAACCCATTTTGTTGATGATGTTAGTTAATTTTATTTTAAGTTCATTGTTTGCGTAGTAACTGCTTGACAGGGCTCAACGGAATAGATTGTGGGTGTGTTTGGGTGACACCCCAAACTATGGTTTGGGGAATAATCTACCCAAACACCCCCTCCAAAAACCAAAACCATGGTTTTGGGTCAAACCATGGTTTTGGAAAAAAAGCAAAATTTTTTTGCTTTGGAGAAAAAAAGGAAAGGAAAAAAAAGGAGGTGTGAGGGGGCCTATATGATATGTATCTTGGTATTTTTTTTATAAACATATTTTTTTATAAATATAGTTAATCTTATATTTTATAAATAATATACATATTAATATTTATTAATTATATTATCTTATGTATTATTAATTATGTTGGTAAAAAACATATTATTAACAATTTTATTCCTTCAAATTAAAATATCATAAAATCTATTTTTTCTGTAAAATCATATTAACTTATATCTTTTTTTTAGTAATTTGTTATATAAAAAGTGCTTCTGATAACAACTATCCAAACACTCTCACTTCTCAGAATCACTTTTTACAAAATCTATTCTTCACGAATCTATTTTTTCCAGAATCTATTCTCCAGAATCACTTTTCAAACCACGGTTTGGTTTCATCCAAACACACCCTGTGGTTCACTTTCGGCAACGCTGCTGTTGCTGTTATAGATCCTATGAGGCTACAGTATATAAAGAGACGGTTTTCAAATCACTTTTCAATTTGAAACCATGGTTTGCAAAAAAGTAACCAAACACCATAATTTTTTCCAAAATCACTTTTTCATTTGGGAAACCATGGTTTTGGGGGTGAAACCATGGTTTTCATAAAAGTGAATTTTTTTTGCTTTGAAGGTATAAAACCATGGTTTGGGATATAAATATATTACACATATCAATTACTACCTTTAATTCTTAATGTAAGAGTTAGAAAACAATTTGTAATATTAAGAAAATTAGTTAAATATTTATTTATAATAAATGTGTGTTGTATTCTTTAAAACACCTATTAACAATGTGCATTATGATTATTATTTGATGTAACATTTAACATCTGCAAATAACATGAGGACTACTTTGAAAAAAATAGATAAATGTATGAGGACAAGATATATTGATATCTTATATTCAAAATCAAATGGAATACTCAATTACCTCTTATACTAAGGACCGGGATAATATTAATTATATTTTTTCATATATAATTTATTATTTACAAATTTAGTGATTTCAACCAGTATAAATTAAACTCTATCATTTATCTAATTATCATATTAGCTTATGTCCTTTTAGTAATTGGTATATAAAAAAAAAGATTCTGATAACAATTATCTAAATATTCTCACTTATCAAATCACTTTTTTTTCAAATTCTATTCTCAAAATCTATTCTTCCAAAATTATTCTTCCAAAAGGCTATTCTTCATAAGATTCTCGAAACGATGGTTTGAGGTTATCCAAACAACCCAAGACAATCTGATTAGGCGTCGTCTTAATTTTCTTTAATTTTAATATCCACATTTGATAAGAAATAAGTCCATTAATCACGTAAGTTTAACTGCATAAATCCTCTCATTCAAAGGATGCAAAGTGATTTTTCTCATGATTTGGCATCTAATGTTGTTGAAACTCGCTTTTTAAGTATCAAAATACTTCATGGAACTTAAATATCACCTTTAAAATACTCTTGATTTTGCAAGAAATAAGCTTTAAAATATTTATAGCGATATAAACAATTACTAAAGATTAATTAATAACAACAAAAGGTTAATTTTCAACCCAGCGGTTGAAGTTCTGAAAGCTGGACATGATTCAGGATAAAATAACAATCTCATTTTGGTGTTCCCATGAGATGATCACAAGGGCTCATGCTTGAACTTGGCCATCTTGGAAAGCTTGTCCACTGCCTGAATCAAGTGGTCAAGCCTAGCCACAAACTCAACCAGCGTGGAAGTGAAGCTGGTGAGCGACAAGGCCGCAGTACTCTCCAAGGCTCTCATTCTGGGCAACAAGTCCGAGGTTGTCCCGTAATCTCCGTCGAAGGCATCCACCTCTATCGATGGCCACGAATATATTCTCCTGAATTGCCTCCTCATCATCTCATGGTAAGACTCTGTTTGTTGTGCCGGCAGCGAAACTCCACCACCACCACCAATATTCTGGGCCTGCGTATTTGAGTTCTTCTCAGGTTCAAGTTCCGCCGTTTGGTCTGATGCGACGGTGCTGATGTTGGTGGACGACGACGCCGACGACATTGATAGGGCATGAGAGGGTTTCGAAACTGTAAGAGGCTTCGATTCCGAAGTGGATGTGAGTATATAGGCGTGGAGTTCTGTGGAAAGTTGGAGCCTCTCGGTGGAGCTATGAAGCATCTTGATCAGAGAGCTTTTAACATTCCACTTCATGTTGTTAATGTCTCTTCCAAGCTCCCTCACTAGCCCCGCAGCTTGATCTGATACCTCCTGGATTTCTGACCCGAATGTTATCCGCAGATTGTGTGGCGCCTGAAACCCCGGAAAAAACTAAAACACATTCATCTCACGTACAAATGTAATTCTATTGCTTTGTCAAGTGTTTGTTGTTCGTGATCAATCAGATTCATGGTCGGATACCTCAGTGTAAGATAGGCTTTATTACAGCCTGTCCCCTATTTTTGGTCCGTCTGGTGAGAGTTGATGACCGTTGAAATGAAAAGTGAGATTGTTCGAGTTAATTGGAAACAAGCAGGTAGGCATGCTTATTTTATTGTTCAGGAAGAGTCAGCTCATCTTTATGATGTTTTACAATTTTAGCTGTTTGAATTTGAAGTTAAGGAGGCAGTAAGCAAACAAAGCCCCAAGATCAAACTCAAATGGGTCTCCCAAAAAATTCAAGGCCGGCTTTATTAATTCTCTTTCTGGAAAAAAAAGCCAAATATATTAAGCAGCCAAAAGTTTTAAAGTTCCTAAGAGTGAATACTGGGTAGGTGATGTTATGCCCCTTCCAGATAAAAAATTTGAAATTCTCACATCGAGTCATGGAATCTGAAGAAGAACTTCAAAGAAGAGTGTTGTGTAATTGAAGTTATTCATTTTAAAATTATATATTGGTTGTTTGGCGGTTATGATTAATTATTCTAATTCAAAACCAATCATTTTTGCAGTTTTAGTTATATTATTTTGAAAGTATTGAAATTATCCAGAATATGTCGACTTTTCCTGCCAAATCTCTTGGACCGTTACATGTGATTCTGACAATATGGATCCTTTAATAGCAATAGCTAGCTAGTCGGCAATTTGATAGCTAATATGAAAGATTCTGGAACTAATGACACGGCAAATATTCCTTATTGATAGGAATAAGTGAAGAACTGAAGTTTTTATCAGAAGGGTACGTACCTGAATTTGTGAGTGTAGAATACTATGCAATGCCATTACTTCATAAGCACAATATCTTAAAGCTGCCCCCACATTCTCATATTCCGACCATGGATAAAACAAGTGTCGGAATCTTCCATGAGGTGGCTCCCATTTTGCTGAATTAGCCTTCCAAATCACGTCATCATCATACAAAACCATGAACATCACTCTGCTTAATTCGAAAACATTTAGTACTATGAATTTATGTAACATGAATAAATATAATACCAGATTCTCTAGCTTTGGCCCTGAGTTTAAGATGTTCTGGCATCTGGTATAAGCTGGTTCGTCTGGAAACTCATCCATCACAGTTGTACTGAATCTAGAATGCTCACACCCATCGTCTTCTAAATATTTCTTGACACACTCTGAGATTTTATACAGAGAAGATAAATTTAATTTGGTTTAGAAGCAAAGTCAATGAGTAAATAGAACAGAGCATGGTAGCTGAATTAATATAGTGATGAAGATTCCTACCCTCAAGTGAATCTGCAACAGAATCGAAGTTGCTGACGAGCTCTTTATGAAGCAATTCTCCAGCCCATATGGGAAAAACAACGACATTGACCAACACCGATATGATTCCACCAATCACCATTGAATACAAGCGATCCACTGCCGTTTTGATGGGGTTTCCCATTCTATAGCCAGATGTTATGATTAAACAGTAGGTTAACAGTATCACCCTGAAGCCATACTCGTATTGCTCAAGCCATGGCCACATTTTCATGAATGATGTTACCGCCGCTTCACACAGGCAAATCAAATCATACGACAGGTTTTAGTCGGCGCGAAAGAAAAGTAAAGAAAGAAAACAAGAAAGAAAGAAACTTTTTGGCATACCGATCATGAAGATACTAAAGCCAATAATAATAGGTTCAGGCGACATGACCAAAAGACAGAGCTGTCTCAGCAACAGCAATAGCCAAGATTCCGGCAAGTGAGCTCCCCAGTGCTCGATTAAATCCTCGGTTAAACGTTGCTCCTTCGAAATCATATTAAAAACAACCAAAGTCAAATAACACATTAAATATTGTTGCATGTATGCTCTATTTGATGCTTGCTTTAACATTTCATGCAAGACGGCATCATGTAACGTACCTACGGTGTACTCGAACACAAGGATGGCAGTGAGAATCGCCCAAATGGTATCGGCTCCAAGAACTTGGTAAGGAGCTTCGAAGAGTACCAGAGATGACACAAGAAGAGCAGTTACTCCAACTTTGACTGCAAATATTGCTTTGCCTTTATCTTCCTTGCATATATCCCACACATTCTGTGCCCAAGCTTTACAAAGCCCTCTACTTTCACATTTCTCGCCACCTTTTGTACTTGTAGGAATGCTTATTTCTACACTTCCCTGTTTGGCATTCATTCTGAAAGAATTTCAAGCTTCTGCAATTCTAGTCACAGAATTGATCCTCTTTAAAAAGAGAGAGGATAAGGTACTGGAAATGAACTCAAGTTCGTTCAAGGATATTTTGGAACAGAGAAAGGTGGCAATTTAAAGTGAAGAGTGGATCTAAGGTGTTAGTGAAAATGGGGAGGGAAGTTTGTGTGGTCAATTATGCGATATATCCAGTGAAAGAATTGATGCGACAATAATAGAAGAGGAAAAATGGAACTAAGATATATATTAAGAAACCTGATGATAAGAAGATGCTTATAATCTCAATAATACTTCATCTGTTGAGAATAGGAATAAGAAATTGCCAGACAAATGCATTCACAAATGTGCCTAAATTAGTTACCGACAGCCATTTGTTCTTCTCAAGTTGTTAACATCATCTCATTGGAATGGAAGAATCTGGGATTTCCCACCACGTTTGATCATTGGTTTCTGCTGGATGCTCTGTTTTATACTCTCTTCTCAACAGTTTTAACTTGATAGCTTTTTCTCCATAGTTAAACACGAAAGATGTTAACTTTAATTCTGCTATTCATATAGGATATGATGTCACTTATCCCCTACATATTCCTCCAGTTCTGTGGAACGATGTTAATCTTAAATTTGAATGCACGAATGGTTGTATCCCTTATATAAGCCGCACGTTTGAGGAATTTAAGTGCTGTCTGTAAATTCTTGAAGGTACAGGAGACAGCAGGTATATATTATTACTCATTTCTAGTACTATTTGCCGAACTATAATAGCCACACATTTTAGTGACCAGAGTTGTTAATAATTCCGAATTGACGGTAACTTCAAGTTTGTTTCCTTTCGAGGAAACTTTGATGTTACTGTGGAGACTTATTCTGATTTTGTTTGGCGAAGTAATTGGAAACAGAGAGAAGAAGGAATATGCCATATTCCTGATGACGAGCGAGAGAGCAAGGGGAAGACTTCCATGGAGGGACGCCAGGTTAAGATGGGGAATATGTTCCAAAAAGAAAAGATTTTGGGTTTGATTTCTGTAAGAAACTCTGCAATAGCAAGAAACAGAAAATCTCCACTTGGTGTTCATTTATGGATTGGAATATGAACTTTAATGGTGTAAAGTGTGAAATGTGCTCAAGTGATGCAGAACCAAAGGAGGGAAACAAACATTCCATTGGCTGTTTAATAATGCTGCTCAGTTTGATTTCACCTCCATATTTTATTCCCTTCTTAATTACCGTTCTCCTTGTTTCTTCTTTCCACGGCGAAGCATAAGGAATAGACAACTTCTTTATGTTAGAAATTGAAGTCAAATGAGGAAAGCAAATTCTCAAGTTTTGTTCTCCGCAAGTGCCGCCTTGCAAAATTAGCACTTTGCGAGAGAAACTTAATGTTACTAACTCTGTTAAAACAAGGCATGTGTATTGATCACAAACACAAGGAATATGTTTCCTGATGAAAACAATAATGTTCTGAATCATATTTCAACCTCATTAAAAATGGACCTTTATGATTATAATATATTGTTTTAAATAAAATAATTTATTTGATTTCTCTTATTTTAATTTCTTTGACTTTTCTCACCAATAAAAAATTAGGAAAAATGACAGAACAAAATCTAAATATCATAAAATCTCAAAATGGTGCACTGAAATTGCATAATCCCATTGAGACATGAGATCCTAAAATGGGATTGTGAATTCAGCCAAAAAGATAGAAATGCCTCTTATTATTATTATTATTATTATTATTTTAAAAAAAAAAGTTTACAGCCTCCTCATCAACTACCGTCATCGACAAAATTCTGTTGAGTTGTAGTGAATAGTTCAGCAAAATTATTATTCATAGCTAATAGTTAAAACTTAATGTTAAATTTATATATTATTTTGCAGTTTGCACTATCATATCAACTTATCAAGAACTTTAAGTGGCTCAATAATCATTTAAGATTTTGGTAACAAGGTGGTGATGCGTGAGATCAAATCCACCTTCATCATTTGGTCATGGACTCACAGTAAATTCCTCCCTACCTTCACCACTTTGTCATGGCAAATTCCTCCTTCTGACTGGGGTTGTAAATTTTTTTAAAAGAATAAGGAACATTTTTTTGTTGATTTTCAAAAGCTTATTTTAGAACCTCACATGAATTTTTTTCAAGATCATGAGATTCTATAATTTTCAGGTTGATTTTCTGTCTTTTTTTAAAAAATTTAATTGACTCTTAAATTTTGTCGGTTAAAGAAATAATATTATTTTTATCATAAAATTATTTTTAAAAAATATTTTAGATAAATTTTTCAATAAATGAATTTAATTTTTATTTTATTCTTTATATTAAAAGTTTAGATGGGCTTAGTTGGGTCTGCCTGGCCCATGTGTTTATTGGGTCTGCCCCTAAACACCTATTTTAAATATTCTAATATGATAAATAAATATATAAAAAATTTTGTGAGTGAAGAGTGGACTTGTTTAGGGGATAAAATGAAAAACAGTGTGCCACAGCGCACAGACTCACAGGAGGACGGCTTAAGTTAAATAATTAAATAAATATTTGAAAAGCAGGAGATCCAGATGATAGAGTTTTTTTTATATAAAAAAAAATTTAGATAAGTTGACGTTTTTATGCTTACTAAGGTCAAAATATGCATTTAAATACATATATATTTACAAATAGCTCATTAACAAAATTCTTATCATAGTTGGATTTAAATTCACGACCTTATAAATTATAAGGAAGACCCACCCATTCAAATAATAATAGATTTGTCCGGACACATATGTAGTTGTCGTCCTGACCCGTGTTGTGAAATCTTTATAAGGATGTCACTTTAAAATTTGTATAATCGATTTTCTAATATATTTAGCATTAAAAATAATTTTGATACTTAAAACAATTGTGTTTTTAATGTATTTTAATTTCACCTTTTTAAGTCTTAAAAAATTAAATTATAGCTTTACCCCATCCATTTCAGAACTTGAGTCACTTTAGAGTTTTTAATTTTTTTTTCTCAACACATCTATCGGTGAGGAACTTAAAAGAAATTATGATACAGAGCATGATTGAGGGAGATATGTGAAACTGGATTAAGATTCATAACATAATTCAATTTGTTTTCTCTCTCTTTTTTTTTTGGTTTATTATGTACATTAATTCAAGATAAACTACAAATCCGTGCAGTGCAGTTTGTCTTTTCTTGGGATGATGGCTGGCTCACGGTCGGATTGACCTCAGCCCCGTACGCTTTGGAGCTTCCAACATCTTTTGGTGTTGACTTTGACCTCAACACGATCTATGCATAATCCATGCAATCTCAACATTATGAATGGTACTCGTTGTAGTTTTTTTTTTATTATTAATGTAAATTTTATTTTTTTAAGTTTGCCGTAAATTTTGATTTCGCAAACTTTTTTATTTAAAATATTATTACCTCCGGTCCTAATTATAAGATCTAGTTGACTAATTTGAGAAGATTAAGAAAAAAAGTTAAGTTAGTTATTTGTGATAAATATATGTTATCTTTCTTAAAATATACTTACTAATCAAGTGTACTAATTAAAACTAACATTGTTAGAAGGATTATCTTAAAAAAAATACATAAATATTAGAGACAAAGTGAATTGAAATCTTATATTTAGGACCAAAATAAAAGTCAACGAGATCTTATATTAATGACCAGAAATAGTAATTTTTATAATTTAATAAAAATTTGGATTTTTTTTCAGAAATTAAAATTTATAATTTAAAATTTGAGATATTTTTAATTTATCATCCTATAATTTTTCCTTGTCCTAAAAGCACTGCAAAGTGCAAACCATTTGGTGTACTTACAAGTCCATATGTAGTCGTCATTGAAGTTGCCGCCTCATTCTCAGGCCGCCGACCAATACCATTCTCTGTGCAAGCGCCGTTGACCCGACACTGACCCCGTCCATGGGCAATTGCAGCGGCGTCCCCTCCGACCAAAACCAACTCAGCTCCCATGGCCCCGACCGCGGCCCACCTTCCAATGGCCTCTCCGTCCTTCCTCCAAATTCTGAGCCCCCGCCACCTAAACCACCTTTCTTCTCCGACTTCGGCCGCGTCCTCTGCCGTCCCATGGAGGATGTCCGTTCCACCTACATCTTCGGCCGCGAACTAGGTCGTGGCCAATTTGGTGTCACCTACCTAGTCACCCACAGAGTCACTAAGCAACAATTCGCCTGCAAATCCATCGCTACCCGAAAACTCGTTAACCGCGACGATATCGATGACATTCGCCGCGAGGTCCAGATCATGCACCACCTCACCGGTCATCGCAACATTGTGGAGCTCAAGGGAGCTTATGAGGATCGCCACTCTGTCAATTTGGTCATGGAACTCTGCGCTGGCGGGGAACTCTTCGATAGGATCATAGCCAAAGGCCATTACTCGGAGCGAGCGGCAGCAAATTTGTGCCGCCAGATCGTGACGGTCGTGCATAGTTGCCACTCCATGGGAGTGTTTCATAGGGATTTGAAGCCGGAGAATTTCTTGTTCCTCAGCAAAGACGACAGCTCGCCTCTTAAGGCCACTGATTTTGGTCTCTCAGTGTTCTTCAAGCCAGGTTTACTCTCATTCTGTTTCTTTTGCGGTTACCTGCATTCGTTGACTTATCCTACGCCCTTCTTCCCCTTGTCTTTTGGTACGATTTGGTGGTCCCATTATTCTGAACTTAACGTTTCAAATTTGGGGGCAGGAGACGTATTAATCGATCTTGTTGGCAGTGCATATTATGTTGCTCCTGAGGTGCTGCGTAAAAGTTATGGACCAGAAGCTGATATTTGGAGTGCCGGGGTTATATTATACATTCTGCTCAGTGGTGTCCCGCCTTTCTGGGCTGGTAAGAACTACTTCCTATCCTTTGCAAGCTTTCAGAGCTCGAAATTTATTATTGATTCATATCAGATTGACATATGAAAGTTCAGATGTTAATCATTGTATATCACATTGTTGGTTGTGCTTTCGGCGTGACTTTAAGCTTAAAAGTTGTTAATCACTGTTTCAGCTTGGAAATCGGCATTTTTGGCTAATATTAGACATATTACCTCGACTTTTATAGCCTTTCTTTGCTTCTCATATTATCTTCTAATCTTCTATGTGAAGAAAATGAACAGGGAATATTTGATGCTATTCTTCGCGGACATATTGATTTTGTATCAAAACCTTGGCCTTCTATATCGAGTAGCGCCAAAGATTTGGTTAGGAAGATGCTACGAGCTGACCCTAGAGAACGGCTTTCAGCCGTTGATGTCCTTAGTAAGTTGTATTCTCATAAACATACTCTTTTTTTCCTTCGCTTTTTGTTAAAAGTGGTTGGCATGCTTGTTTAAGGAACATAATATATTATACAGTATATATTAGTTCGCGGACATATTGATTTTCTGTCAAAACCACGGCTTAGAAGTGATTGTTGCCTCCACAATGGTTAGCGTGCTTGCTTAAAAAACATATTACTACCTCCAGTCATAAGTGTAATTACACTACAAAACAAGTTTTATATTTGGGATTGGAGGAGTATATTATGTGGTATACATACATCATACATTACATGCATATTTTTTATTGTCCTTTTTTCTTCTCCCTTTTATCTTATACGCTGTTAAAAGAACCTTGGTGCTGTATTTTTCATATCATTTTGCTTATTCAAATCATCCAGTAATAATAAGAGTTCTACATATACTCCAGATCATCCTTGGATGAGAGAAGATGGGGATGCATCTGATAAGCCTCTTGACATTGCTGTTTTGACCAGAATGAAACAATTCCGAGCAATGAACAAACTAAAGAAAGTAGCTCTAAAGGTAAATTATCTGTTATCATCATTGTTGTTTGTAATGAAAGTGCCAAAAGATAGCTAAAAAAACGAGTAATAAGAAGGTAGCCATCACTGAACTCAATCAAGATTTAAATGCTGTGATACACTCGTGCTTAAATGGCATCTGCCTTGTCTCTCGGAGTCTTTGTTCTTTCATTTGCCAAGGTGGCCATTGATATGCAAAGGAAAAATGTTATTTACTGCGCAAATAAGATTTTTTCTCCCATTTGTCAAAAATGAAAAAGACTCGCTCACTGAAGGGGAAGAAAAGGTATGAGCCCCAACATGGCTGCTTCCCAAACAGTAAACATCTATTTAAATACTCTCATACACACTTATTTTGATATGGGAATTGAAGTCCCACCCTTGGAGGGCCCACTGGCCCAGTCTTTGGCTGTAGTGGGAAATGATTTATGAAGAACCTTGTATTTATTTCAGGTAATTGCGGAAAATCTTTCTGAAGAAGAAATCATTGGCTTGAAGGAGATGTTCAAATCAATGGACACCGATAACAGTGGTACAATCACTTTTGAAGAGTTGAAAGTTGGTCTCCCCAAGTTGGGTAGCAAGCTTTCTGAGTCTGAAGTGAGGCAGTTGATGGAAGCGGTAAACTTTATTTTGTTTCCTTGTTTGATTATACCTCAGCTTTGTCTGCTTCTAGTGCCCCAGACACCCCGCCCCCCAAAAAAAACCCCCAAAACAGGGAAAGAAATTCTTTCTCTGCTCCTAGGAGATTTGAGATCCATTATTTTTTAAATGGGGCGAATGCTTGGTGGTGACAAAGATTGCATCCAATTTTTAAACATTAGCGTAAAACACCAGTTAGGATTACGACCTCAAAACCCGGTGTGGAGGAAATTTTATATGTCTAATGTTGAGAATATATATTTAAACTCTTGCTCTGCCAAAAAAAAAAAAGTGTAGGTGTTATCTTTAGAGCTGCTTTAATATCACCAATACCACTTGGCTTGACTTAAATGATCCTTTTCAGTTCACCATTGTAACATAATTTTTGGATACTCAGGCTGATGTTGATGGAAATGGAACCATTGATTATATTGAATTTATAACAGCTACCATGCACATGAATAGAATGGAAAGAGAGGACCACCTATACAAAGCATTTGAATATTTTGACAAGGATAGGAGCGGGTAATTACACTTAAGCTTCCTTCATAATTAGAGTGCTCTCTTTCACTGTTGAATCTTGTATTCAACTTTTGGTTCTCTCTCTCTCTCTCTCTGTGTGTGCTTTTTTAACTCTTCTGTTTATTATAGGTATATCACTATGGAAGAGTTGGAATATGCATTGAAGAAGTATAATATGGGTGATGAAAAAACAATAAAGGAGATCATTGCTGAAGTTGATGCAGACAATGTGAGTTCGTCTTTCTGAATTTTGTGTCTACAGCTTCCTCAAGCATGCAAGCATACTAACTGTGGGAATGGCCACCACATGCCATTTTACTTCTATTTACTAATAATTATGATGTCTCTTGCTCGAGAAGTTTGACAAAGAATGGCCAGGTTTAGGCGCCATACAATACAACCCTGAAACAACCAGGGAAGAAATTATCATATAATTTCTGTTTGGTATCGGGTGTCTAAGCTAGGTTAAAGGTAATAGGAAACCTAATTGAACTAGAAGTTTCCTGTCTGCTTGTACTTATGCTCTGGCTGCGCCCATTTTTGGGACATTCTGGGAATGATTCTAAACATGGTTCATCTTTTTGGGCGGCTTAATAAAAATGGAAAGAACATGCCTTATAGCATTGGTGAAACACGGAGAATTATGGAAGCAAACATTGTTGGTATCTGATAATCGTTCATTCCATATCCTGTGAAGCTTTAGTTGTCTGTATATACTTGTTAAGTCGTCCTTCGCTGAAAATCTCATCTTTCTTGCAGGATGGAAGAATTAATTATGACGAGTTCGTGGCCATGATGAGGAAAGGCAACCCAGAAACGGTGAACAACAGGCGTCGCAAGTAATCTCTTCTTGAGTTACTTGATTTTTTGGTCGGAGGCTTGACACGTGCAAGTAATATTGACTGTCATTGTATCATATTAAGAAGAATTTGCTTACCTCTCATTCATTTCAAGAGAGCTCTTGCTATCAGAGAATAGAGTTGGGATATTCTAAAATGTAAAGCTTTTAAAGGACTCATACTGTAAACAGAAAGCGATGGCGAGATAAGAGATGCTGAGATTTTCTTCTTCTTCTTTTTTCCTTTTTTCTGTCTCTCTTTCTTGAGAGTCAGTTTAGAAATTTTAAATTTTAGAGGATCCAAACTTGAAAGGACTTGTTCTTTGCCTTTCCCAGCTAACTTGCTGGCCGAGACGGGCAATAATGCTCTATTTTGCGGGTCCTATGGGGCAATTTTATGAGGTCGTGGATTTATGTATTGGTGGAAACGAAATGGTACGAACAAGTGGGTTTCAGAAAGTGAAATTGTCTTAAAGAGTTGTCCTGAAGTTTGTGTAGACATTGGAGCTTGATAATTGATTCAGGAGGATCAATATAAGATCTTTCATCTTTAAATGCTAACTACTGCAGTGCAGAGGGGCCAAAATTATCCCATCGTGCTTGCATATATAGCTGATGGCGAGCTCACTTGATAGTTGTTTCTTCTTTTCAGAAAACGGCATGCTGGTTTACCCTTTTAGTTGCTTCCCTTTGAATGAAAAAAATGAGGATAGGTGTGTGCTTATCTTAGCTGTGAGTTATGTCATGAATTATTGTGTTGCGCTGCTTGGAGGGTTTGAAGAGAGAGGGTTCAATTTACAAAATTGAAGTAATCTGTGTTAGACTATAGCAATGTTAATGAGATCGGTTTTTAAACTGATCAAGACACTAATTCATGTGACGTTGAATTGTAATCATATTGAGTTAGAGTTGTCATTAATAGATTAATATATATACTACCTCCGATCCTTAATATAAAATCCTGTTTGACTTTTTATTTTGGTCCTAAATATAAGATCCCAATCCATTTTGTCTCTCATATTTATACATTTTTTTTTCAAAGTAGCCTTTTTAATATTGATATTTCTAGTCAATATACTTGATTAGCAAAGATATTTTAGGAAAGACAACATCTATTTAGGACAAATAACTAACTGAACTTACTTTCTTAATCTCCTTAAATTAGTCAACTGGCTCTTATAATTAGGACCGGAGGTAATATATATATAGTAATAACAATTCACTTGATCTGATTTTCCATCTCCCTTGCATTCAATTCAAGGCTACAACAAAAGGATGCCCCAACAGCTTTTTGTGTCACAGGTAACAAGCTCAAGCTGCTGCCCGCTCTGTAAATTCGCTCATCTGTGAGGTAAACTCGTATGCCAATCTAACAAAGTTACTCAGCTGTATCATGCGGCCTAGAAAGAAGACCGCGAAGATCTTGCGGTCTTTCCAAGTCCAAACTAAATAATCGAAGTCCTAATTTTCCAAACTTGATGTACGGTGAGAATTCGTGCTTCGGATTTGCCTGGGTGAGCCCTGCTGTTGACAATGCTGTGCACCTTTTTCTAGATTTTATATTTTATATATGAAGTTGAGCATAACAAAACTTAAAGACCTTGACTATCCATCATGTTCCATTCTCAAGTCCTTAACACGTGCAACCCCACCCATGGCCCTGCCGTTCCGTGCTTATCCACCAGGCCTTCTATACATAGTAACATGCTAAGGTGGGCCCTCCATGTCATTCGCCTTTTTTGGGGGGGGGGTATGTCGCCGCGCTGTCACTCACCGTGAGATCGGCAGTTTTTGTGTCTTCTTATTTGTTGTTTATTTTGCATGTCAGGTTAGCGCCACAACATACGTCCAAGTCATTCTGGTACTGTTGGTTTTTAGAAATTCCAAGGAAGGTTCTTCCCTTTTCACATTGAAGAACGGCGTGATCGCTTACACCCTTTGTGCAGAGCCTGCCGGAGCAAATAAGCGATCCAAAATAGCTAACCGAAAGGGGAAAAATGAGAAGCCAAATGCAACAAGTATGAATGAATATTTGGCAAAGTCAAATAAATGAGCAGTTGAAGGACCCGCGGACTGATTCAACGCTGAACGCTCCGTCGCGAAACCGAAAACTCTCTCATTCTGTTATTCTAGCTTCGCTAATGAGCTCTGACGATTCGGACAGAGAACATGGTGTTGCCGCCATGGTAACCTTTTCTTCATGGAATTGGAAAGCTCTTTCTTTTTTGGACATTTCAACCCTAAGAGTTTACTTTCTTTTTCCTTTCTGCCGAAGTTGCTGCAAATGAAATGCATTCGTATCTAGCCCCGGCTTTTCTGCATGTTTGCTTTAAATTCTTCTGCAGATTTGATTTTCTTTGCTTCGATTCAAATGAGTGTGTGAGTATAGTTAAGCTGTGGGCACTTTTTTCTCAGATTTCATCACCAGAGCGAAAGTGACACCTGTCGTTTAAAACTTGGTCATCGGCATAAACATGGATTTTCAACAATGTTAGTGGCGTTTATAAAACTCGAGATGTGTTTGAGCATTTATAGCAGAAGAAAATAGGTTTGCCCTGTTATTTATAGAAGCTTCCAGTGTATGGGAGACGGTAGAATCTATATCTTCAACCATGCTTGTGAATGAAATTCTGAAAAAATAGCTGCTAGAATTTGATTCAGCAGACTGAATATGTCTTTGTAAGAGTGGGACGTCTCTAAAATGATAAGGAGCTGCTTAAGTTTCTGATGCTCTCTATCATTTTTCATCATTCTTGTTCTTTCTTGTACGTGCAAATTGTATGACATGCAGCCCTTGTGCAGGGGGAAAAAAAACAGAGAAGAAAAGAAGCAGCTGACTACCTCTATCTATGCTATAGCTCTTAGTTTCCTAATTTTCTATCTTTGGCTATCCTTTTGGACCTCTCAGTAATAAAAAAGGAACCTGTATTTTCTACCTGAAAGATAAAAAGAAATTTTATATACAATCTGATTCTTCTGAATCAGAAAAGTATGTTCAGCGTGTTTGATGATTCTCTCTGAACAGGTCGAGTGCAGATATCAACGTAAAGCAGTTCTCTTTTTGGCATACCAGAGTTTAGGCTTTCTGATTGGTGACCTTAGCATCTCCCCGCTTTATGTATATCAAAGTATATTTTCTGGTAGACTGCAATATATTCAAAATGAGGATGCAATATTTGGTGCTTTCTCTCTGATTTTTTGGACTCTCTCTCTTATGTCATTGTTTAAGTATGTCATTATGGTGCTGAGTGCAGACGATAATGGAGAAGGTAAGGGCTTGCTCTCTTTATGATGATGCTACGGGTTTAGTCCCTCCTTTTGTTTTCCCCCTTGCCCATCATGATTTAGCATTCTCCTAATACTCTCAGCTCCTATGCAGGGGGAATTATTGCTTTGTATTCACTTCTTTGCAGAAATGCAAAATTTTGTCTGCTACCTAATCAGCAAGCATCTGATGAGGAGCTGTCTACATATCATAAACCTGGTTGCACAAATAGAAATATACCATTCTCACCTTTGAAAAGACTCATTGAGAGGCATAAGATCACAAAACCTGCTTTGCTGATTTTTGTTCTCCTGGGTGCATCTATGGTTATTTGTATCGGTGCTCTGGCACCAGCTATTTCTGGTAAGGGAACATTCGTTACATCATCTAGTATAATGTTTCTGGTTGCTTTCCCCCTTAGTGCATTTCTTTACCTCTCATTCCCTCCATAAGCATCTATGTTGATCAGAATCCAATTCTTGCAGTGCTTGCATCTATTAAAGGGCTGGAAAGCCAGGCAAAGGTCACGAATAATAGTAAGTCGAGAAAAATTGAATCTTCTACTTAGCATTATAATAATCAAGGCCGGCCTAAACCATCTGAATAAAATAGATGAACGAATTTTTTAATTAATGTAGATATACTTGTACTGTACCTTTTTTGCTATCATGAAATGGTGACAGAGATTTGGCCCAAAAAAAGAAAAGAAATGGTGACAGAAATTAGCGGGGAATGTGATTTTTACTGATGCTGACATTTTTCAAGGTCTTTAACTTGGATGACTTCCCTCTCTACACTCTTATACACCAAGCTCATTATGTTATGCTAGGGTTGCAACTGACAGCAAGAAACAATCATGATCTTTTGTTTTAAGTCTCCAGTTGTGACACATGGAGCAAATATTTTCCCTGGCAGCACCTATTGCAGATAATTGCCAGTTGCAATTGCAGGGGGAGGGAATAATTGAGTGGAAAAGGGGAGAGTGGCAGAAATAGAACTTTCCATGAATTTAGGTATTCTTGGTCTAAACAGGGAACGTTCAATGACTTTTGGACCATTTATTTCCGGAAAAACGGAATTGATAAACATTCAATGCTAGTTTTATTCCCACAGTTCCTAAATTTTGCATTTTTTCCCAGTGTGTATTGATTTAGTCCCATGTCTCTTCCTTGAGAAAATATTATGCAATCTATGTAGTTTTGCTATGAAAGCTTACATGTGTACCCCTAAACAGGTATGTTGCTTCTTATGTCTTGTGTTCTATTGGTTGGACTCTTTGTACTGCAACACCGTGGTGCCCACAGTGTGGCCTTCATGTTTCCTCCTATTGTGGTCTTGTGGTTACTTTTTAATTTCATGGTTGGCATTTACAATGTCATCAAATGGAATCCAAGAGTATATCAGGCTCTATCTCCGCATTATATATATAGGTTCTTTCAGGTTACAGGAAAAGATGGTTGGGCTAATCTTGGAGGGGTATTCTTGTGCGTCGCAGGTCAGTGCATCTCTTGGTGCTCAAAATCAATTTAACCTTTACACTTACTAGATTCATTGTGTGATCTCTCGGATAACCTCAGGGACCGAAGCTATGTTTGCAGACCTAGGATACTCTGGGCAAGCGCCTATAAGGGTATGTATGGGTAATAATTGTTTGTCTTTCAACTCAATAATTACCTTATAGGTGGCATTGGTCAGTCCATGAGTGTCTTTTCTATAAGCCAATAATGTTCAATTTATTAGCTGCTCGGTTTCCGTTAGGGTGGGGGGGGGGTTAGAGATATCCTTTGGATCACTATGCATGTGAGTTTGGCCCTCATTTTAATATGTTTTTCACGTTATAAACAGAATCAATTCATCTGAGGGATCAATGAATTGATGATGCACGCTAATTTATATTCCACTGATATACAGCACTGCGGAATTTGAACATGCATCTAAGAGTAGATAATGTTCAGATATAGAAGTCTTCCTAATTATAACAAGTGGAGGGATTGAACAGTAAGATCGTATGTAAATGTCTAAATGATATCAAGAAAGGAGTATTTTGACTGTACTATGACAAACTCGTAGGCCGTAGCAGAAGTTGCAAAATAAATCTTTCAATGAGTTGCCCAATAAGAAGTTTATGGTGCATAATTTAGCTTTATCTATGATTCTTGGCACAGCAAATACAAGCCTTAATGAGTGCTTGTTTCTTCCTTAAACATGATATAGAAATTATCAGATTGCTTCTTTTGAAATGGTTGTTGCTATTGTGTACTTTAAAGACTCGTTGCCATGCAGGTTGCATTTTGTTGTGTTATTTATCCATGTCTAGTCCTTCAATACATGGGGCAAGCTGCATTTCTTTCCAAGAATTTATCTGCAGTGCGTATAAGCTTTTATGCTTCCATTCCAGGTCAGAGAATTAAAATACTGATGTTAACTGTGGTCTGATATACCATCTTATAAGATCCTAAAATGCTTGCATAAGTGCTACAAATGGAATGGATATTTTTGGAAAGGTGCCACAAATTCTCTACATGTTAATTACGACTATTTTTTTTGGCATTCTACAAATCAGTTAAAAAAAATTGTAATTAGGATTGGAGGGAGTATGAATATGAAATGATGTATGCATAATTTGCATCATTAAAAATTATTGCTTTACTATTGTAAGTTTGGTCTTGGCTGACTAAACAAGTTTTCCCCCTTGAGTCTAAAGTATATTGGAATTGTCTTTATATTTGATCTGTCTTTACTCTCCATGCTGTTATGTGTCATACATCCCTGGTTGCACATCATATATTAACATTTGGCTCTCTAGTTAACTATCTAACTTTACTAGCAAATGAGGGAAATTAGTTGAGTTAGCAAAAGTATCATGCAAAACCAAATCCAGCCCTTCGCTACAATTTTTGGTCCCTTTTTTTTTTTTTTGGGTGATACTGGTCCCTTTAATTTTTATGTCTTCTGACATGAATGCAATTCATGTGTTAGTTCTTAAGGCTCATTCCTCTACAACCTTGTTATTGTATTTCAGCATGCTTTTGTTGTTTTGTAGACGTCCTTTTTTGGCCAGTATTTGTGGTGGCTGTTTTGGCAGCGATAGTTGCAAGTCAGGCTGTTATCTCTGCAGCATTCTCAATTGTCAAACAATGCCATGCATTTGATTGTTTCCCTCGTGTTAAGTTTGTGCATTCCAGACGATGGATCCAAGGGCAGACATACATACCAGAGATAAATTGGATTCTTATGATTATCAGCCTGGCTGTGACTATTGGTTTTGGGGATCCAATTCATATAGGATATGCTTATGGTACGTTCTGTCAAAAAAACCGACAAAATCTTTATTGACATAATATCTCTTTGCAGATTTCATGATACTTATTAGGCTCTTTATTTTCATATTAGTTTAGTTGTCAAGAGAAGTTTTCTTTCTTATGATTTTGAAATTAAATTTCGTGCATGAAGTTTATAGTATTGATGTGATAGGCAGAGAGCCACCGCAAATGTTGAACATAATTCAAGGCAGTTTCTTAAGGTTGGCCCTGATAAGTTTGTATATCTGCATGGATATCACTTTGTCTGCATTAGGAGGAATGGCAGAGTTCACTAGTATTATATTTATGCTCTAAATGTGGACGCTTATAAAAACCTGCCCATCCATCAAGTTTCCTTTTGATAAATCTGCTTGTGATTCTTTGGTAGTTTAGGAACTCACCGGTCAGGAACTGGAAATTAGCCTTGCTTATGCATTTAAATCACGCACTATTGCAATTTCTGAATTCATATTTGTACATAACTAATTCGGCATGGAAATTGTCTTCCATCCTGGTATCAGCATTCGACCATTTGCATTTGATCCGCCAACCATATGACTATATTGACAAGCAGCCTTGTCACTTCAATTTTCAGGCATTGAATGACTAATTTCAGGGGCATTGTGATTTCCAGTTTATTCTATATTAGAAAATACACTAACCAAGCCGGAGTTACTTTACAATTTGTTGTTTTCTGTTGATTGCTGATATGAATGTCTGCATTGCAGGGATTGCTTGTCTAATTGTTACATATGTGACCACATGGTTGACATCGCTAGTCATCAACCTTGTATGGCATCTAAGTATTGTAGCTGCTCTTGCACTTCTTTTATTCTTTGCTTCAATAGAGGTTCTCTTCCTTTCCTCTTATTGCATGAAAATCCCAAAAGGTGGCTGGGTTCCGTTAATGCTCTCTGCAGTTTTCCTGGTGGTTATGTTTGTGTGGCATTATGGTTCTAGGAAAAAGTATTTATTTGACATGCATAACAAAGTTTCCATGAAGTGGATCCTTACACTGGGCCCTAGTCTTGGGATTGTCAGGGTCCCAGGAATGGGCCTCATCTACACTGAATTAGCTGCTGGAATACCAGCGACTTTCACTCACTTCTTGACCAATTTGCCAGCTTTTTACCAAGTGGTTGTTTTTGTTTGTGTTAAGACTGTACCTGTGCCTTGTGTACCACATAAAGAACGTTACCTCATTGGCCGAATCGGTCCCAAATCTTACCGAATGTATCGGTGCATTGTTCGAAATGGTTATAAGGATGTTTACAACAATGAAGCTGATTTTGAGAACGATCTGGTGCTTAGCATAGCGGAATTCATCCAATTGGAATCAGAAGGTGGTTCTAGAAACCTAGAGGGTTCTGTGGATGGCCGGATGGCTGTGGTTAAGACATCTGGAAAGTTTGGGACAAGATTGTTAATGTCAGAATCTGCTATTGCTGAAGAAGGCAGTAGTTTGAGTCTTTCTGAAACCTTGACAGTAAGCAGCAGCAAGTCACCCACGCTGAAGAGGCTGCAGGCCATGTATGAACAGGAATCACCTGAACTCAACAATAGGAAACGGATTCGATTTGAGTTGCTAAATACAATATATAGAGATCCACATGTGAAGGAGGAGCTCCTGGAGCTTGTAGAAGCCAAGCGTGTAGGTGCAGCATATGTAATAAATCATTCTCACGTAAAGGCCAAGTGGAACTCATCATTCATAAAAAGGTTTGCCATCAACCTTTACTCTTTTCTACGCAAGAATTGTCGAGCCCCTGCTGTAAGCTTGAACATTCCTCACGTTTATCTGATCAAGGTAGGCATGAATTATCATGTCTAAGACTATTATGCAAGCAAACTAGAATATCTATAGGCGAGTTTGTTTCATATACAGAGTCAATACACGCGGTTTGTTACTCTAGGATTTTGGCTTTGCGTGTCCAGACGAATAGTTTGATATCAAGACGTTTAATTTTGTAATGAAATGGTGTTTGGTGCGGGCTGATGAACTTGCCAAATATATACTTCCGCTTCCTTGTCGTAGTCTTGTTTTGCCATCTCTCAGTGACTGTTGTTACATTGAATCACATTTGCTGCTATTATAGTTGGTCCCTTCTCCCCCGATGTGTTTCCGGATGCAGCCTCACGCTCTTTTTTGCGTCTGTATTTAGAATGATTTTTGTTCTAATGAAACTATTAAAGAACTAATTTGAATTTTTCATTTTATATTTGTTCATTTTGACTATTGTAGACTTTATTATCTAGTAAAAATAATGCATGTAACTTTCCAAAATTAATCTCCAATTGCTATATTCTGGTCCTCCTTTGCGTGAAATTTGCTTTAGCTAATTTATGTTCAATAGTTACAGGTTTGTATTTATTCCCTTGCAAGGTTTTTAGGGATAAATAAATGTTATACCTTGCAAGGTTTTATGTTGGGAATAGTTTTATACCGTGTACTTAATTCATAAAATTTTTCATGCTGTTCCCAGTTGGGTACAAGAAAGTAGTCACGAGATAAATAGTCCTTCCCTCAAGCAAATTACGCTTGCAGGTCTTTTGGGTTGAAAAATTCCTCAGTCTCATGAACAATATCTTTGAAAATAAGAATCCAAATGTATGGGTTTTGTCATTATCACTAGCACCAATCACCGATGGCTATGGATTATCAGGGAATAAATCAAATTATATGGGCCGTCGATATCATATCATATCATAGATGAAAAATAATTATCATTATATTTATTATATAGTCTATCAATATAACGCTCATGAGCACACAAATTCAGGTGAAGAACGATTGTAATTTTTTTTTTGGCCAACGAAGAACGAGTGTAATTATTTTTAATAAAAAACAATTTGAGAGTAATTAAAATAATTATCATTATTGTTGGCCCAAAAAGGAACCATCATTATTATACTATACTGCTTTGACCATATAGAGAGTTTATATTTCTTCCAATCCTATTTATAAGTTACTCCTCTATATCTATTTAACTGATTTAATTAGATTAAAAAAGTTAGATAAGTTAGTTAACTATAAGAAACATGACATATTTTTTTTTAATATACTATAATTTTCTTTCTTAATATCTTTCCTCCCTCTTTTATTTGATCATGATTAAGGGAGTACTTAGAGTGGTAATTTAACAAAATTAATAAATATATAAAATACGTGTTATATTTAAAATCAAAATTTTTTTTTTTATTAAAGACCAGAAGAATACTTAAAAACCGGCAAAAGAAAGATAGAATTAAAAGGTTATTAAATTTTAAGATAGTGAATGATTTTTATTTTTTTTTGAATTTGAGAGTCAATTCATTAAAGCTTAGAATGTGTAAGAGATTTTAACTAATTATATTAATTTATTTATATGAGTTACCCCGTAATAACTTGGAAAACGTGGTGATCGGTGGTCATATTTTTGGGGTGGTTTCTACAATTACTGGACTAGAGAGTCCAAGACTTTCCGCAACCGCTGCCAAATTTCCTCGGCCAGAATTAAAATTCACAAAAACCCTTGAAAACTGGTTTTTCGGGAGAAAAACCCATCATTTGTTGGCAATTCAATTCCTTCTTTCCTTTGGGGTTCTGGTCTCTGGAAGAACAGCTTGGCTTCTGCTATCAAATCAATTATCGGCCTACAAAAACAAACCTGGTTTGATGTAAAGGCAGGAGATTTTCAGCGTTCGATTCTAATTAGCCTCCATGTTGAGTGCCTCTTCGTCTTCCGCTGTCTTCCGTCGCTTCTTTCTTCCACCCTCAACCTCTCAAAATAAGGGCTTCAGCAGACCCCCAACCCTCCGTCCTATTTCTCGGCCGTTTCGGATCTTGGAATCGAAGTCAGCAAAGAACGTAAGCCATATGTGGAACTAGTTGAAACATCTTCCCATGTTAGTTTCATCTTTTCTATTCGCTTGTAATTTTAAGTATTATCATTAATGCCTTTTCTACTACCCAGAAAAAGAGAAGGTCGAAAAAGTTCTGGCCATTATCGAATTCATACTGAGCCCATTATAATATTTTGTTCTATTGAGGGTCACATTTTTACGCATCGAATGCAGTGAACTGGAGCCCCTTAAATTTCCAGATATAAGTTTTATTACTTTACGTGCAAAATTTCCGGTGACAACCGTGGGCAAACTTGATTTTAGTTTATGTACCTAATGTAGATTTCATGATTCCTTCTACTTGCAGAAATTGAGGATCTTATGCTTTAGGCACGAACATCATTCTCCAGAACCCCCAAAACCTGAAGTTATAAGCCATTATCTTCCCGAGGAGTTGGTTCAATCTGAATTTAGTCATTCAAGTGTCACCGAAAGAAACTGGGATGCGGGCCTTCAGAAGGTGACTGCGTTATTTGCTATTTATATTATGTGCTTTATTGTGTGAATGGGTTCTATTTTGCTTTTAATATTGATATTCATATCATCATATCTTTGCTAATTATTGATAGCAAAACTTCGAATCGTGCATTGCGTGGCGGTGAAAAGTGAAATTAAATTCCTATCTTCAGTGGCCCAACTCAAAATTCTGACTTGTACTCGCTACAAATCAGACATGCTTTATATTGCATTTTCATGCGCAGATGGTAGGCCCATCCCTTTTAGAGGGATGATTATAACTAAAACACTTGCATTGATCTGATATTACGTGCTGATGATGCTATCCAATGAATTTCATTTCTTCTTTGAGCACTGTTTGACACTAAATCTATTTGGCTTTTAGGATTATGAAGGTCTAGGGTTGATGGTCAGCACTTCCTCGAATAACAGAACTGTGTCTGATAGGTATTTGCACAGTTCAGTGGAATTGTAGTCAATCTGAAGTAGTTGGATATAGAATTCTATGTTGAAACATATAATCCCATAGATATCTTCATATTTCATTTTTGTGTAATGGGGATATCTGTTTTTATATGTCTGTGTCCAGTTGATGGAAACAAGAAGAAATGCATTTCCTATTTGGATGCTGTTGTTTTCCTGGTACAGCATATGGAAAATTAGATTTCCATTTGAGTTTTTCTAGACATGAGGATACATTAATTGACCTCTGGTCAATATATTGCTGTAACATTAACATTTTGTTCATGAACAAGAGCTAATATGTGAATACTGTCTAATCTTATGCTGACCAAAAGGTTTGATTTTTTTTCAGTCTGCCAGTACAGTATTGACAATATTTGGCAAACAATGGGTTGTACCGTGGGCTGCAGGTACCATATTACAAGTAAGTATTTTCCTACTTCAAGCTATTCTATACGTTGCTTAATGGCATTGCTTAGTGTTTGCTATGAAATTCTGAAGAGTTAAAATTTATGGTGCTCTTGGTATGACTGGGAGTGAATGAAGTCTAGGAAGTAAAGTGATCTATGGTGCATCCTTGGTCTTCACTCTATCCCTTATTTTCTCCCTTCTTCACTCCGATCAAGTTCATTTTGGCGGCCAAACATTTCAAGAATTGTTCATTAATCGTTTGACTTTTGAAAAATGGCTTAATGGTCTTCTCGACCTCACTTGTTAGGCAGATAACACTTTGGTTCACCAACCTTCCTTGAATCTTCTTTGCTGAAGCCTTGTTCACGAGACTGGGGCTTTGAAAAATACCATTCACGCTCAGACAAAACAGACGTACAGACATGCAATTGTATGATTTATCTAGAGCAATAAATGACATGCGTGTCTTGTGTATTTTGAGATGAATTCTATTTATTTCATCATCCACTGTTCTAAAATTGACAGAATACATGGATAGAAAGAGTCCAATAATTTTCCTGTGATAAAAAAACCAAGACATCCAACTTAGCTTTGGAAAATTGAACGAGTCTTTAGGAATGATGTGACCCAGTGATGTGGATTAAAATTGCAGGAGAATAAAATCTTATATGGGAAACTAAATTGCAGAACAACGTGTCATGCAGGTTATGCTTCTTTGGACAGCAACATTTTGGTTTATAGGCTCTTGGATGATTCCTTGTGCGGCTCATATAGCTGGTTTTAACAAGGAATCATTAACATTTAGAGGACAGGCACTATTTAGCCTTGTTACTGATGTAACTGAAGGACTAGCAGGCATAGCAATTCTTCGGCTCTGCCTATCTCGGTATCGTCCCCTTCCGCCTGATTGGTTTAGGTTTAATCTGAAAGGGAAATGGCAGTTGGATGTCATCTTGGGATGTTTTATGTTTCCCCTGGTCAATCGTCTCTCACAGTTCAACCTGGACCTCCTACCTCTTTTGCCTTCAACGCCTGTTACGCTTTCAAGTGTTGAGCAGTCAATAATGGCAAGGGATCCCGTGGCAATGGGATTATATGCGATAGTGGTATCAATCTGTGCCCCTGTATGGGAAGAAATAGTTTTCCGTGGTTTTCTACTTCCATCACTTACCAAATACATGCCTGTGTGGTGCGCAATATTGGTTAGTTCAGTTGCCTTTGCTCTTGCGCATTTCAATTTACAGAGGATGCTGCCACTTATATTTCTTGGTATGGTGATGGGGGTGATATTTACCCGATCGAGGAATTTATTACCGTCCATGCTCTTGCACAGTCTGTGGAATAGCTTTGTCTTCTTGGACCTCATGAAATAGAGCTTCCATTAAAGCCATAATAGTTTAGCAAGTGATGAGTGGTGAACCGAATTCATATGTATCATTTGCTCATTGTCTTCCTATGATTAAAATTAGTGTCAGGTACTCGATCTCGGGGTCCTCCAAGCGCCATTAAGAGGAACTGAGGATGATACCTAACGATTGCATGTTGTTCATATTATTGGTGAATAGGAGGCAATAATGTAAGCCTGAAAATGTGAAACAGTTCATTGTGGATAACGAAAACATGCTGTGGGGCTGTTGTGTATGTGTTCATCCCACTTAATCAATAGAGCATATTTCAACGAGGTTATTCAACTTCTGATATTGCTTGCTCTCACTCTTGCTTTGTGGAATTCAACTCTATTTTACAAGTGATAACCTTTTCATCCAACAGAGGTAATATTGTTATACCCATCTTTTCAATTGATGTTCAGAATATTGAAGTGAAACAAGCAAGCAATATGAGTTAATTTAGGAAGGAGTGATAGTGGACGAATTTGTCCGGCGGCATTAAACTGGAATGTACCGGCTCCCTGATTTGTAGTTGAGTTTGGGAGAACTACAGTGAGATTTCTGGAAAAAAAAATTACTGGTAAGTTTTGACAACGCGTAGTTATTTCTTACCGTGAATCTTGATGTTATGTTTTTTTGTTGTTGAAATTTTAGTAATTCTGTTTCTTATTTGGGATTTCATAGCAATTTTCCCTTCTGCTATTACTCTTTTTTAGTGATCAGCCACGAGACGGTTTTCGACAAAATATCAAATATATTAGATAGTGTTTTATCCAAATTATGTTGTTAATGTTATTACTTAAAAATCAAGCGTTATTATATTTTTAAGACTAAAGCATTCGTTTAGTCTGTTAATTTTATATAAAGTTTCAATTTGATCTTTAACTTTTAAAAAATATATTTTTAGTCTTTTAACTCAAATTTTTTTGAAAAATGATGACATTAAAATCTTAAATGTTAATAAAATACTATCTCCGGTCCTTAATATAAGACCCCTTTTGACTTTTTGTTTGGTCCTATTTATAAGATCCCAATCCATTTTGTCTCTCATATTTATGCATTTTTTTCAAGATAGTCATTCTAATAATGATAGTTCTAGCCAATACACTTAATTAGCAAGGATATTTTAGGAATGACAACACTTATTTATTACAAATAACTAACTTAACTTACTTCCTTAATCTCCTCAAATAAGTCAACTGGATCTTATAATTAAGATCGGAGGTAGTATTTTTAAATACTAACATATTAAGTTTGGTTTTCAAAACATCTATGATTGTTACCAAAAATTATCATTAAAGCCTAATAATTTTATTGTTAAAGGATTAAATGTATACTTTTTAAAGTTAATGGACCAAATTGAAATCTTATACAAAGTTAAAAGACCAAATATATATTTTAGCTTATTTTTAATAAAAAAAATGAATCAGTTAAATTCTTTATTTCTTTATATTCCCTTTTAGCGGTATTTTTGTGATCAAAACAAAACAGTATATGATATATAATCATAAAATAAAATAAATCAATATACCATTTCACCATCCTGGCATGATTTGTTTTCAACTCAAAAGGACAAAATTCGTTAGCTAGATTATTTATAAATTATAACAGCCTTACAAAAAGCTTATCTATTAAAATTATACAGTTACAGATTATGTCCAATATTTTGATCGGAAAAAATGAGATAATAATTTTATATTATACACACCCCTTCTCATCTTAAAATAGATAATTCAATTGAAGTTATCTAACCGTATGTCAAGGCCAAGAATAATACTTCCCTAGTTTTCATGTACATTAGTAATATTAATACATTTTTTTTTGTCAGACGATAATAATTTAACTGAATCGCCTAAGCCCTGCTCAAGAGCCAAAACAGATATCATACGTATGGTTTTTCAAAAAATAAACATATAATTAATTATAACATAGATTCGATTTAGTGACACTACTAAAGAGTACTCCACAACCTACCCTTTTAAAACATCATGATAAAAATTCAAGTCAAAAGTCAATAAATATATAAAATGTATAACGTAACCAGCCATTAAATATGGCAAAGAGATACTCCCAAGGGGAAGAGTATAATTTAAATAACATCTCTTGTTTTTCATAACATCCAATTAACAGACTTACATAATTCAAAAATTTAATATTAAGAGTATTAAATATGTGAGGAATACAATTTTTTTGGAAAATATTCCCTCTATATCCTTGTTCAAAAAAAATGTGTGCGTACGGAGAAAAAAAGTGCAATTAATTAAAAAAAATTAGTGGAAATGCATTTAACATTTGGACAATCTCAATAAATCCTATAAAATAGACCGGATCAATTAGAAGTTTGAATTTTCAGAAAAGAACTGGAGGGGGTGTTAACAAAGCTTCAACCCCACGGGGCCAGAATGAAATGCTGTCAAGCAACATCTGCATTATTGCAGATACTGCAGACATTTCTCAATTTGCCGATGAACAAATCCCATATCACAATTCTCAGCAGAATAAAAGGCACCATCAAACAAGAATATACCTTATTAAATCAAGAAGTTGTCATGATTCATCAAAGCTTTAAATAAAATGAAAAGCTACGCATCGATGTACAGAACCTCCCCCCCCCCCCCCACAAACCCCCGGTCTCATAAGAACGAGACATCCATATAACATAAGAGTTCCAGTGACGTCCATAAAAGCAGCTGAAACAAAAGTACGCTCGATCTTTCCCCTGTACCAAGGAACCCTACAAAAATATAAACTACTAGAAGATAAGGCTTTGACAGATAAAGGGGTCGAAATACTAATGGGATATTGAAGAATACCCAACTACAACGCACTTTTGTCAGCCACTTCAGTCCTTCTTTCTATCTTTTAGAGGTCCCTTGGGAATCTTACTCAAAACCTTGGCATCAAACACTGCATACTGCTTCTTAATCTCCACGGTTGCCTTCTCAGCAAATGCATCCACTTGATCTTCATACTTCTCATAGAGCACGGGAACAGTGTGAAGCAAAACAAAGGCTGTTCCACACTCATTAGAACACACAAATCAAAATAATATTTCAACTTTCAAAGCAATAAACGATGGTCTGTAATATCAACCTCAACGGAAATAGAAATGATTCGTTACCTATATAGAACAACGTCAAGAAGTTGCACCAACTCCCCGCAATAGAGAAAACCCATAATGCCGCAATTACCTATCATATAATACAAAACAGGGTAAAATGCCAGCCAACAAAGTAAGAAGAAATGAGCACAATCCTACACACATTATAACCACCCATAACTCACTGTTAAATTAGAACAATGTTATGAAATGCAACCCCCATCCCTCCCGCTCATTTTTTGTAGAACCCTACACTCCACACAGATACTCTCCCTCACTTGATTTCTTCCGTTCAGCCCCTCCCTCCCCAGACTTTACACTTCAACAACAACAATTTTTTCTACCAGCTTGCACCATTTTCATGATATGACCACAAAACCGTAAGTTACAAAAGGATATCAACATACAGAAATGATATGACCTACAAAACTGTAAGTTACAAAAGGACATCAACATACAGAAAGAAACTTCTTGAGATCTCTTCCTGATGCAGTATCCCTCAAAGTAGCAAACAACCAATTGATCTCAGTTCTCAGAGCAGAAGCAAACTGTAGAACAGGTTCCTCTGGGATGTGAACTTCTGGGATACGCGGTGGAGTCCTGATAAAAACAAATAATTAAACCCACCCATGAAAAGAAATTAAATTTCATAAAACTTAAGCATTGTCTAAACACTTTACTTGTTGATAAAAGCTGAGGCATTGGACCACAAGAACAAGATCGCCAGTGCAAATATTAGGAAGTGGCAGACTAAAGTGAGTAGATGGTATTCAAGCAATTCAAACAAAACCCATATAGCCGTTGCAACACCAAGAGCAGAAGCTGATATCTTCTTATTCCTCCATAGCATCACATCTGCCGCTGTTACATGAACAAGCAAATCAGTAGACAACAGCAAACAAAGCAAAGAACAAAAAGAAACCGTGGTAGAGAGCAAATCGACGCCCTAAATGCCAAGGATCCCACACCAATGAAGAATTTGCACTAACCATAACAGAATCTAGCCCCAAAAACCACGAGTTGACATCACAGACGAATAAAAAATCATCCGATATAAAATTTTAAAGATGCTTTTTCTCACAGAATTAAGGGTTTCGATTATGAATTATGCACTACATATCTTGCATAATTTACAATTACAATTACACCATATCTGGTTTGTCAGTTCTCATCACTTTAGCACACAAAATCAAGGCGATATTACCTATAATTTAGTCCAAGGATGCATGTAGAGAAAAAGGTTTAATTATGTGAGACTATATATATGCACAAATCTCATCCATATTTAAAGGAAAAGGCAAGCAACTGGGACTGTAATTGTGATTTGACTTAACCCAAGCTTAATCACTCAAAAAGGGCTAGAAAAACCATATTCAGAACCCGATTCGCAAATTACAGATGAAAAAATGTAGAATCTAAGCATAAGAATAACAGTACTCTAGATCAATTGGAAAGTTCTATGACAGATAGGAATAACAGTAGAAAATGAATCTCGTACGTTTTCCCCCACCAAGGACCTCATGAACTGGCTTTTCCCTTCCAAAAAGTCGAAAAACCTTGGATTTGATCGAAGGAGACGACCTATCCTTCTTCTTGTCATCCGAATCAGACGAAGACGAGGACGAGGACGAGGAGTGGTGATCATGAATCTTCTCAGATATCTTATCTAACAATGATTCAGACTTCGGTTCCTCGTGCTCGTTATGCTCAGCCATGATTCACAAGCTGCGAGTTTCGGGATTCCAATTGATGATCGACAAAAACCCTAAGCTGGTTTCGAAACGTCTGGAAGGAGTAAGAAAGCCACTCGAGTGCAAAAAAGGCCTTGCCTTGCTTTTTAGCCCTTAGCATAGAGAGCGGGATGAGTATGACGATGGCAATGGATGGCATCTTGACCGTTCATGTGAGCGACCCGAGTTCACATAGTTTAGAGATTAGAACCGAATCCGAAAAACTTGTTCAGGATAATTTATTGCAAATAATTATTAATTAATGTAAATAACTTGAAACATACTACCTTGATCTTTAATATAAAATATTATTTGATTTTTATTTTGATCTTAAATATAAAATTCCAATACACTTTGTCTTTCATATTTATGTATTTTTTTTAAGATAGTACTTCTAACAATAGTAGTTCTAGCCAATACACTTGATTAGCAAGGATATTTTAGAAAAGATAACACATATTTATTACAAATAACTAACTTAACTTCTTTCTTTAATCTTCTCAAATTAGTCAAATAGCTCTTATAATTAAGACTGGATCTAGTATTTCGTTATTATACAATAAATTGTTTTTAATGCTTTGATAAAAATTTTAATATTAAAGTTGTAACAAAATGACTGTAATGTAAATCTTACTATGCAAGAGATAATATCTGAACCCTAAAAATCCATATGAAGATTGAAGATTTTACCTTTCCTGATTCTATGATAACTCTCGGGAGAATGTAAGATTGGGAGATTAGGTACAAATCAAATTTTGATTTTAAAAGTAATTTTATAATATATGAAGTAAGTATGTACGAAGAGTTTTGTCTTAATTTGTGACTTGCATTATTATAAGATCTACTAAACTATATTACGTGGTTTAATAAAACCACTAAAATTAGTTAAAAGTGATAAAAATGTTAAAAATGTACTTTTTTTTTCAAATATGTCCTTATTTATAAGTGGATAGGTTCAAGTGAAGGAAAAAATGGGAAAGAATGTATTTAAAAAAAAAGATAATAAGAGAGAGTATATTAATTAAGAATAAAGTGAGTAAAAATATAATTATTGTTTAGACAAATCCAAAGAGAATTTTATAAATAGAAACAAACTAATTCAAAAAATTGAATCTTATAATAAAAAACAGAGGAGTACTTTTTAAAAATGCTTCTTGGAGTTTTGAAACACCCCCTTGATAAATTAGTCTTGCATGCTTCTAAATTGGAAAGAATTAACGTGAACGAACCTTAATTGTTAATGACTTTTGTGAGAGTTGTTAAGGCTTGATTCATGTAATTAAGGCTAGAAATAAAGTCTCTTTTTTTTTTTTTCTAGTTGCCCACCCAATTCACCGGAACTTTATTCTGACTACATCTGGATCTGACCTGCGTCGTGCATCTGGCTGTAGTGGGTGAGTCTCCCAACGGAAATTTCTGCATACGATGAGGAAATAAAGCCTTTTTGACCCGTCATGTTAAGTTGGGATAATAGTTTGGCCCATCTCAATGTAAAAAAAAAAAAAAGAATCAATATATATATCTATACACAATTAAAAAAAAATAATAATTCGTTATGATATGTAGATATATAAACTACATAATATCTTGACCCAATTCACAAGTTGTCAATTTATGTGCCTAAGGCTAAAAAGGGACATTTAATTTCTCCTGGACATAATAGAATCCTCACCCCTCATATCAAGTTGGGAAAATAATTTAGTCCAAAGTCATTGAAAATAAAAAAACTGACATTTATAAAATAATAAAAAATAAAATTTGTATATATAGTTGTATAATACTCATCCTGTGCTAAATGTAAGATATATTTTGTAATATAAGTTACACTTCAAAATAAATATTATATTTAGAATAAAAAAATATAAAGAAGTAAAAACACAAACAAATCACATTATTTATGAATTATGAGCTGTCTTTCTAAACCTGGGGATGTCCAAAGTCAATATGTGTAATATGTGTGATGATACACTCCCACCTTTTAATATGTTACTTTACATGTGGAAGGGCATGCAGACATGGGTCCCAATTATTCTTTTCCTCCTTGGTTTGGAGAGGAGATTTTACTTAGCCCATGTGAGTAGGCTTCACTAGTGAGAAATGAGATGGAGTGTATGGATAGCTACCTTATAATTAAAATTTTATATTTAGGATAGGAAGCAGTATCTTTAATTAGACATAAATTTGAACTCGAGCAATCAATACTCAAGCTCTTTACATTTTGGAATCTATGCCTAGTACCTTGAAATGGTGGGCGAGTGATAATTTTAATTATAGTGCCTCCAATCCGGACGAGAGCTAAATACAAGAGAGTAGAAGCCTAGAATGGAAAATAAAAAAGCCTAGCTATGCACCCTACACACCAAAAACCAAATTGGTAGGAGACAATAAGGTAAGAGATGGTGAAAGTCAATCTTGGGGCCCAATTAAAACTTTATTGAACACAGTTGTAATCACCAAACGGAAGCTGATAAAGAAACAAGTCCCATCCATTTCTACATCCACGAATCTGGACACAACCTTTACACTCTAATCCAAACCTAACACGAAATTCACGACCCCACCACACCCAGCCTGGATCACACAGGAAGAGAATCGTAAGAAAACAATTGAACAAGAGATTGTTTGAGTATTGCTTCGACTAGAAACAAGTATTGTGGACAAAAAAAACAAGACAAGGCCACACTCCAAGCAGCCAACTGCTACTTTGAAAAAACAAAAACCCAAGTGTTAAACTAGTCAATAAACAAATCACAATCAATCAAGGCAGGCTTGGCTTCCTATCATGATCCGATCAGACATTTCCGAATGCACGATACAAAATCGAACAAGACACGAGGCACGTAGCAAACACCAAAAACTTCGAGTCGAGGAATTTCTTAAGGGCTCGTAAAATCTCATCATCGCCCGGGAAAAACCAGTAATACCAATGTGAATCAAAAGACAGAGACAGCCCAGGGAAAGAATAGTCGAAAGACAAAGAGGGAACGGAAGAACTAGATTAAATTACCTCATCCCAGTGAACGGTGACACGGAAAGTGGGAAAGTGAATGGCAATGACGAGAAGCAAGACGCTGAGTTTGCAGAAACATATTTTGCTGAGGAAGAAGAACAGCTTGGAATTGTTCGACGCAAACACCAGAAGGATTTGTATTCATTTCCGATGAGTGAGGTTGTTCGAAGGATTGGGAAAAGAATAATCTTCAAAAGCGAAGATTCAACGAATATGCCTCTTGGCATGACACTTTCAGGCTTGGCGACAACCAATTTCGCTGTCTCATTAGAAATTAAAAATTAAGACACGATTGTTGTATGCGCACTAAATGATTCTCATCCATGTCACCGTACGTGGGCTCTTCGCTAACGAAGTAAGGCCAAGGCCGCTCATATTGGGCTCAATTCCTTGAGAAGATAACTGGTTTGGGTTTCCTGGCATATGATCTTTTTTTTGGAATAGAGTAGACCATAAATCGAAGTTCAACGTGGGAGAAATCCAAATGGGACTGAGAATGAAAAGAGTTTTTTTAGATACAAGTATATTTCTATTAGAGATAGTTTTGTTCGAGACATTGTCAGGTGCTGCACGTTGTAGGAAATTAGCTCTTTTTACTAGATTCAACTCCTGTTGCTAGTGAAAAGAGTTTTTGTTTTTTGGATACTACATAGGAATTAGGTCTTAGGAAATAGCATGCAATCCACTAGCTCTAATAGTTTCAACAATCATGACTGGTGAGCCCTGTTGAGAGACTAGAGTCCAATGTATTCTGAGGAGTCTAATGTATTGATGTATCAGGCTGTAAGCCCATTATGAGTCCATGTTTGTTGTATAAGTATTGATAGATTACTTAATAATATTTGATTGGTATTTTCCCACCAAGTCTAGTATCTTGTAATGCTCCATTTCACATGGCACCAGAGCGTCAAGTCCAGTGATTAAGCCCATATGCAAGGCAAAAGTCGAAGGCCCAATTGCCTCCTCCCCAGAAATTATCACCGCGTTGCAACGCAGTCGTTTCTGCAACACCGTCTGCAGTACCCAAAACCCAAACTATGATCTAGTAGGGTTTCCCATTTGTTCTGCATCAGAAACATTGATATCAATGCTATTAGAAGTTCTCAGCTCATCAAGAATGGTCCGTGACAATGCCATTTTAGTCTCTTCTCGTCTCCTTGTTAAGCCAGATCAAGATTTCACGATCTGCCATCACTGAGATTCTGAGGATTCTGACGTTTGCACTCCCGTCATCTGTTGCACAGGTGAGTTTCAATCTCTCCCCGTCTCCTCATCAAGACAAATCAAGATTTCACGATATGCCATCACTGAGATTCTAAGGACTCCGGCATTTTCGATCTTGTCATCCTTTGAGCAAGTGAGTCACTTACGATAGTTTTCCCAGAATTTCTCTTCAGTTTTACCGATCATAACCATGCTCAAGACTCTCCAAGAACTCACTACGATGAGTAAAAAGTCAACGTCCAACTCTTCAGTGATCGACGCAAATCATCCACTCTTCTTGTATCCCTCAGACACCCAAGCCACATTTTAGTCTCCCAAATCCTCACTAGCTCCAATAATTATGTTATTTGGAGCAAAGCCATGCATCTGGCATTACAAGGTAAAAATAAGCTGGGTTTCATTGAAGGCACTTACACTCGGATCAGTGAACCACACTATAAGGAACAATGGGACGGCTGTAATGCGGTGTTTCTTTCTTGGCTCATTAATTTTGTTGGAAAGGAAATAGCTAATGGTATAGTATTTGCTGATGATGCACACACGGTGTGGGATGATCTCAAAGAAAGATTTCACAAAGTCGATGGTGCCAAGATTTATTCTCTCCTGAAAGCAATTTCTTCTATAACTCAAGGGACTCTTGCAGTATCTGCATATTACGCCAAACTCAGAGTTATGGGATGAATATGCATTGTTAGTACCCTTGCCTACTTGGAAGTGTGAGGCTGCCCAAGAATATATCAGAATAGTCTAGCAGCAATGTCTTTTCCAGTTCCTTATGGGATTAAATGACAATTTTCAACAAGCCCGATCACAAATTCTACTCATGTCTCCATTACCGAGTGTTAACC